AGGCTAGACGGACAGTGGCCTGCGTCCCTTCCCTCCCTCAGCACCTTAGCCCTCACTGCCCTCACGTCCCTCCCCAGATCAGCCCTGCCAGCCTCTTCCCTCTGGCTTATGCCAGCCTCTCCCAGGGAATTCACTCCCTGCCTGTGGCCTTCACTATCCTCCCGGGAGGCTTTCAGACCCTTGGCCCCTCCCAGTTGCTGTGGCAGGCAGGCACTTTCTATGCATTTCCCAGTGTGTGTGTGCACCCCCATCCAAGGCAGCCTGCAGCCCCCAGACCCTCAGTCTGCCCCACCTAGCCTGTGGCTCCCTCTTCAGAGGCATGGAGGGATTAATGCCCAGCTGCTGCTTAGGGGTGAGCTGACTCAGGAATCATCGTTGTTATCTACTGGAATGTGTGGGCAGCCCTGGGGTGGCCACTCAGGCCAGCAGGTAGTGTGACTGAAGCCCTGCCCCTTCTTGGTGGGCAGTATGCTGAAGTGGAAAGCCCCCAAGAAGCCCTGCTCCCAGTTGGGGTCTGGGCGAGGTGGGCAGCTGGTGTGGAGCGAGGGGCTGTCCTAGACCTACTCCTTTTCAGCTGCTTCTGGGAAACAGCAGACAGGCTGGGCAGGGACCCAGTGTGCTTGTCAACTCCCCCCACACACACCCCTTCTTAAATGGAGCCTGTTATCTATGAATTCTCAGAAGGAGGAAGAAGCAATCCTTTCTTTTACAGAGTTATGAATACTTCTTTCTGCTCCCTTGCACGGAGCCCTCCAGGAATCCCAGACACACCACCTGAGATCTTCCTCCCTCACCCCCAAGCAGGAGTGTCTTAGGGTGCCGGAGTCTCTTAGAACAGGGGAGTAATGTGGGGTCTCTGAGAATGTGGGAGCAGGTGGCAGAGCTGCTTCCCACAGGCAAGCTCCAAGCAGAAAGACCCTGGGTGTGAGCCTGGGTGGGGTAAGTGAAGACATCCCAGATTCTGTTGATTCTAAGACCCAAAAGTGATCACATTGGTCAGTGCTATGGAGAGCTAGATACCATGACCTTGCATTCAGCAGTCTGTGTGTATTAGCATCTGTACCTTTATTTCCTCAGTTTACCATAAAGGGTACTGAGGCAGAGAGGGGCCTGAAGTCACCCAGCCAGTCACATGACTAGCAGCTAGGGACTCAGGCCACCCTTGCCCTTTGTGCCTGGGCCATCACTCCATGTTTTTCCCATGACACTGGACTTTTCTCTAAATTGGTGTGTGCATTACTGCAGTCCATTACTTTGGCTTATTGTAAAACCTCAGCTCTGTGGGCAAGACCCCAACCTGTCCATATCCTTGCTGCTGGTTCCTGGGAGGCCACAGTACCAGCCTGAGGAAGGGGTAGCAGTAGGATAGACTCCACATCCATTCACCCCTTCTCAGTCTGTCTTGGATTGGGTTTGGGAAATTTTAAACAGCTTTATTTAGAGGTGATTAATATAGAGCATACACCCATTTAAATTATACAGCCAAGAAAGTTTTGGCATATTTACACCTCCGTGAAACCACTACCATTGTTAGGAGAAGGAGGGTACCCCAAAGAGTCCCGGGACCCTTGGGGAACCCAGCTAATGCCCCTGCTCTTCCCAGGTCTTCTGTTCTGACAGAATTTTGTGTTCCTCCTGCTCTCACAAGAGTCAGAAAGTGTGTGCACTTTGGTCTTGCTCTGCCCTTTTTCACCCAGTATCCTTCACACTGCCTGGTAGATCTCTTCTTTGCACTGGAGGACTCCACCATGGGATGGACCCTAAGGCCTGTCTAGTTCCCCATCAGGGACTGTTTGGGGCTGTTACGGAGAAGCATTGGTGCCTGGGGTGGAAGATGGGTGTGTGGGAGATGTGGCATTGACTTCCTCAAAGCAGTGTGCAAAACCGCAGACTAAAGTTAGGACAGCTGCAGGGTACTCACAGGGCACTCACCCTTCCTTGTCACTATCAGCAACCATTGGGTACTTTGGGGTTAGCTGATGTGGTAGGAATCTTGCAGTGTCTCTGCTTTGGTGCCTCAGGATGCAGGTGGCCCCGCCTGTGCTTACGGCCCTGTATCCTGGTATCCAGGTGGAGTGCCTGTGCTGGTTTTCTTGCCATAGTTTTGAAAGCTCCTTATACATCCTTTGTGATACAGTTGTCCCTCCCTGCTGCGGCTGTGTGCAGGCCTCTTGAAGAGCAGATTCCTTTATAGCCTCTGACCCTTTGGGGACCTCTAGCCCTGCTCCCCTGGGCCCCTTTCCCAGGGTGAGGGGCAAGGAGTCACTGTGCTGCCTGTCCCCCTGGTTCAGTTTCTCCATTGTTGTAGCTTTAGCCTGAGAGGCTCTGTGCAGGGGCTGGAAAAAGCATGGTCTGCACAGTACCAGGCATTCCTTCCTGTGTCCTCTCCCACTGTCTTGGCTCTGCTTGCCCTCTGTAGCCTTGGGTTCAACGTGTAGGCAAATTGAGTCCCCTTTTCCCAGCTGCCCCTACATTCTGTGGTTTTGCTCCAGCTCTTCCGTGCCCTGCGAATGGTACCAGCCCCGTTACCCCGGGCATGGAGGGCTGGGAGCAGTGGCTCATCTACAGGGGTCCCCTCTTCCTTCCCTCCCTAGAGTCTGAACAGAAGGCCTCCTTCTCAGAACAGAGCTGAAAGTGATGTCCTGTCCAGAAAGTCATGTTAGCAGGTTTGGGGGGTTGGACTAAGCATTGCCATGGCTCATTTCTGTTACAATGACATTACCCTGAGAGGGGACTCAGGTAACCCCAGCTCCTCAAATGAGGGGCTCACAAGGAAGATGAGGATGGTCCCTACCCAGCCAGGAATGGTGTGGGGCAGCACTAACCAGCAGTTCCACCCAGACACTGGGGCACACTCAGCTGCTGTATAGGTGGGGACACTTGAGGCACAAGAAGACGGGTGACCTGCCAGCAACCTCACAGTTTTGGTGGCTGAGTCACAGTTTATAAGCAGGCCTCTGTGACCACAGATGGAGGGACAGGGGCCCCATCCACCTGCCCCACTCTTCCCTGGAACATCTTAGGACAAGTTTCCAAGAAAAATACATGACATTTCCAAAGCCACAGAGGAATAGAGTTACCAGGGAAGTTCTCAGCCTTGTCACCTCCTTCCCTGGAGCCACGGATGGCAGACAGCTCAGGAGAAGTCTGTGCTTCCTGGAGCTGCCCACCATCTCCTACCCTCCTACCTCCCTTGTGCTGACCACAGGCCCTCCCTGCCCTCTCACCAGTGGGACAGGCACAGAAGTGCTGCTGAACTGGAAGCTGGAGGACCCCTGGCATCACCAGGGCCTTACGTGAGGGGCAGCTCCTCAGGTATATAGTGGACCCTGCCCACTCAGTGGAAAAGAGCCTTACCCCAGGGCCCAGGTGAAGTAGGACCTCATTCCTCCGAGAGTGTAAAAACTGAGTTGTAGCTCACCCAAGAGGGCTGGGAAACCACAGCCCCAGGTTATAAGTGAGGTGCTGGAGGGGGAGGCGAGAGAGGAGTCAGGCTTCACGGTTCCTTATCAGCCCAGATCTCACCAAGATCAGGGCCAGCCTGCCTGGAGATTCCCAGGGCTGCTGGGGGCTTTCCTTGGGTGTGGCCCAAGATCACAAGTTCAGGGGTCCTGAGCACATCCCCCTTTCCGGGGCTCTTTCCCTGGTGGGGTCCACTGAAGCAAGAAATGATCCACCAGGTGCTTGTCTTGGGCCCAGGTTTCGGTTTCCCTTCCCCTCAGACCAGCAGCCCTGCACAGGATGAGCTGTCAGCCCCCTACAGAGGAGTAGGTCAGGAGCTAGGCCCTCCCACCCATCTGGGCGCAGGTCACCTAGAGGGACGTCATTGCCCCTGGTGCTCACAGGCTTCCTGCCTCCCCAAGAGGTTTTGAGTCATGACCTCAAGCAGCTTCCTCCAGGATATCCCTCAGGGTTTGACCCACAATGGTGGTGGTGTGGAGGGGGAGGGGGAGAAAGGCAGAACCTCACAAGGCTCAAGGGAGCCAGGTGGCACACTTCTTGTGTGGGACCCTGACCTCTACACCTGACCCCCGGAAGGAAGTTCCTCCACCCTTCCCTGTTTCTGCCCAGGGGCTGACAGAGCTGGTCTCTGTGCAGGTGGGTCTCTGTGTCCTCCAGGGAGGCAGTGGTGAAGCCTGGCCACTCCTCCACATACTGTCTGGGGATGCTGGCCACCGCTGTGGACCAGAGACAAGGAAAGGATCACTGTGCCAGGATGAGTGTCCCCCAGGCTGCGGGAAGGAGGGGATGTGGAGTCATACTTTACACCCGGGACCAGGAGGGACTGTAGAGGAATCTGAGGGGATCCAGGCCCCGACCCCCTTTCATGTGTCTGGAGCCCCCAGCTCTTAAGGGCTGGCCCACTTGGCTAGTGATGGTTCCCTCCACACAGGATGGCAAGCCACTGAGGGCCTCACCCAGACTGGAGTCCCATGCATGCCTGCCCTTCACACCCTCACTGCCTCTCTCCCCCATGAGTCCCTCTCCCTCTGCCTGTCCTGAGGACTGCAGGCTGTCCCTACAGCGTTCTGGATGCCACCATGTCCGCAAAGGTCCTGCCACTCCTCCTGGCAGCAAAAACTTAGCATGCCCTCCCCGATGTAGCTGGCACCCGCTCCCCACTGTCCCCAAAGAAACTGACTGCTGGGGCAGGGCATTCCCTTGGAAGACGACATGGCTGTCCTTGGTGCTCAGGTCCTGGTGTGGCCGCTGACCATATTAGAAGATGAAAATACAGCATATCCAGACAACGCAGAACTTCTGATAAATTTGTTCCATGTCATATTTGGGAGTAAAGAAGTTACACTGTTCATCTGAAATGCCACTGACCTGTCCCTTGTCTGACCTGGAGGTGCTGTTGAGGCCCAGGGCTCGAGCAGACAGTAGCTGGACTGACCGGCTGGGCCGTGACTGTGGAGACCCACTCATGAGGAGCAGGGGGTTCTCACATGCCCCCCCCAGTGCTCCCTACTCCGTGACACTGTTCTCTGTTTCCTTAGCTGGCCGGAGGCGTGATCCTGGGTGTGGCCCTGTGGCTGCGCCATGACCCGCAGACCACCAGCCTGCTCTACCTGGAGCTGGGAGACAGGCCGGCCCCCAGCACCTTCTATGTGGGTGAGTGACACAGGGTAGAGCCCGGGATATGGGGCTGCAGATGTCGTCTAGGAGGGCTTTCAGAAGGAGGTGGAGCTTGAAGAGGGTGGAATAGGCCCCAGTGAGGACCTGCGTAGTGGGCGAGAGGAGGAGATGAGGCCTGAGACCCTGAGGCGAGGCATCTGAACCAGACCTGGTATACTGGCCAGGGAGGTCCTAGGACTCTGAGGGTCAGGCTGCAGGATGGACAGTGTGGCTGATTAGGACTCCACCACATCATCTCGGGAGGAGTCCCAAGCCTGTTTGGAGCTTGCTTATTTTAACTGGGCATTTGTGGGGAGGCTTCCCAGGCGGGTGGGGCTGAATGCCTGGACAACAGCTGAGGCAGCTGGAGGCCCACAGTGGGTGACTCAGCCCACTCCCCCCTCCCTCGCAGGCCGCCACACCTTGCTGCCTTATTAGGCTGCCTGTGAGAGACTGAGCCTCTACCCCCAGAAGCAGGGGTGACAGGAGGACTGCGCCTGGTAGCTGGGCGGCCACTCCCCCAACCCCCTCACCCCCCAGCCCCACCACGGGTGGAGGGCAGGGCCTGGCACCCTGAGCTCTGCAAGTGTTTGGGAGACATTTCTAACCTTTAAAGGAGGGCCCCTGGCCTTGGGCTCGCAGCTGCTGACTGATGTGAGCGCTTCATCCCCTGTGGAGCCTGGAAGGGACCTGCCCCGCCTCTGTCCCCTTCCACCAATTTGGGCCACAGGCCTGGCTGCTGAGTGGGGACTAGGAGTGCCCTATATACTTCCTGCGCTGCCCTAGTGCCCCAGGGCAGCCAAGAGCTCTGGCACCCCAGAGGTGCCATAACCCACTCCTCGCCCACCTGCCATCCTCTCTGGGCATCCATCCTCCCGTGGGTAGGACAGATAGGGACAGTACCTGGCCTACCTCAAGAAGGTAGCTGTGGCTAATGGTGGTTTCCAGGCCCAGCTGTTTGTCAGGAGAGGGTCCAGGGCCTGGACCACAGGTTGCTAGCCCTCCTTGGCACAATGGTACCTTCAGCTGTAAAGGAGGAAGCCTGCCTGCCCCAGGGGCTCACTTGGAGACCACACCAGCTGGGGTGCTTGTAACCAGCATCCTCACAAGGGAGCAGATAGCTTTGCCCCAGGGCCAAGGGCACTGGGGGTCTGGCCAGTATCCTCAGACCCATTGAGGGCTGTGTCTCTTCTGGGAGGCCCTTCCCTGGCTTTGTGTGCCTCCTCCTGAGATAATCAGCAGTATTTGGACTCCAGAGTAGCCTCCAAGCAAACCTGGGCCTTGCCCTCCAGAACCCTATCGTCACCCGATCTGGTTCCAGACAGGCACATCCCTGGCCAGAGTGAGGTAGCCTCCTTGGTATGCTTCTTGTCCTGTCTAAGGTGGGAGGGGGCTGTCACCCTGTTGCCAGCTTCCTGGCCAGGTAGTTTTGCAGAGGTGAATTAAGTAGCCCTGGGGCAGGCAGTTTGTGCAAGAGGCCACTCTGCAACCACAGGCTGGGCCTGTGCCTGTAGGTGGAGGCCACTCAGAGCCCCTCTGGCCACCAAGTCCCTGCCTATCCTGAATTGGCCTTCTGGAACGACCCCCTTCCACTATCTCCCCCACCCCCGCTACCCCCAGGCTGTGTCCTGCTAGGGAACAGATGCGGCCCTGACAAAGGCGCTTTGTCCAGTGCTGGAAGAGGAGTGAGTTGGCCAGCTCACTCAGTACCCTGGGCAACGCTGCAGAAAGAGGTCTAGGCTTAGGAGGGGCTGTGGACAGCCCTGGGACTGAGGCCTGTAGGTGTGGGTCTCCTGACCCTGTAAGATCCTCCATGACCAAGAAAGGCAATGCCTTTCAGCCCCATGTTACCTGCGAGAACCTGACCTGGTTATCCAGGAGTCCAGGAGCCTGCCTCGTTGTGATATTGGATCTTGGGGCCTCAGAACAGGAGGCTGATTTGAGGGTGCTCTGCCCCCTGAGGGTGGAACCACCTGCCAGATGTCCTTGACCAGGAATGTTCAGTGCTGTCCAGAGGAGGAGGAGGCCAGGTCTCTGATCTTGTCTGTTTCTCAGCCTGGCGGTGGATGCTAGCCCTGGCTCCTTCTCCCCTGGACTGGCCAGGCAGGGGACAATGGGCCTGGCTTTGAGCAGGAAGGCTTGGGCTGCCCAGCAGCGTTGCCGTGGAGACTGGGGGATGGGCTGATCTTGCTGAGGAAGGGCTGGGAGGGCTCTGCAGAAACACTGTGGCCTTTCCCAAGGGTCCAGGAGGAACTGTGGGCCCTGAAGCAGTGACGTGGCCAGGCCGGTGCCTCCTAGACTTCAGTGCCCTGCTGCCTTTCTGCCCTGCTGCCTCTCCAGGAAGGCACTGCCCAGCCAGTGGGTATGGGCAGTCAGGAGAGCAGTCTGGCCCTGTGCACTGTCCTCACTCTATAAGTGGCCCAGCCACCCCAACTACAGGCTTCTGCCCTTGGGGTTGGGTCCCCCACCCCCACCCAACACAGCTACACAAAGCACAGCCCAAACGTTGGTGTCCCTGAGTTGGGGACAACTGGAGTGGGGCTGCTCTGTGGCTGGCATGGACCTCTTCCTCATTTCCCCTCACCAATGCTGGGCCCCCAGGCAGTTCCTGACACATCACCCTGACACACTGAGATGGGGTGGTCCCTGGGCTTCTGGGATTGCAGATGGTGGTAGCGGCCCCAATGCAGGATATGTCTGGGAAGTGTTGATTGTCCACATTCTCTGAGCATATAGGTGCCATTTAGTCCCCCTGTGGCATTGTCTGCCCCTCCTGAGGCCACGGAGAACCCCGGAGCTCATTTGGCCAGGCCAAGCCAGCGGCAGGCCTCCGACCCTGTGTCTGGGGCAGCTGTGCACATGGCCACTCACCGAAGTCCTCCCCACAGGCATCTACATCCTTATCGCCGTGGGTGCCGTGATGATGTTTGTTGGCTTCCTGGGTTGCTACGGGGCCATCCAGGAGTCCCAGTGCCTGCTGGGGACGGTAAGTCAGTGTGTCCGAGGCCAGGGCTGGGCAGCAGCATTCTGCTGGCCCAGGAAGTGGGTGGTCGGATTAGAGATCAGGACAGACCCAGGGGCTGTAGTTCAAGCCTCTGATGTCGCACTCGGGGCCTCCCCCGGCCCTAGACATAGGGCACTGGGCAGTCTCAGCCTCTTCTCCATAATTTCAGTGCTTTGGTTTTCCTGTTTGGTTCTTAAATCAAATCCCACTGTGGTTGATTTCCATGATGTCTGGATCCACAAGGCTAACTTCCAAAGAGGACTCTTTCCTTTCTCTAAAAAAGCCACAAACACCATAGCAATCAACGCCAGCCTCAGGGTCCCTGAGGACACTAGCCACTGGCAGAAGCTAAGGCCCAGATGTGCCATCCAGGGGCTGGCCAGTCTGGGAGAGGCGAGCCTACCATTGCCCACAGTTGGGGAAAGTGAGGCATACTTCATTTTCCCTTCCCCATGGGGAGAAGGGGAAAGGGTTAGGGGAGGTGGGATTAGGGCTGCTGTCACTACAGAACCCCAAGCCATGTCCTTGCTCCAGAGTGCGGGTCATGTGTGCCTGGCCTGATTGCTGCTCAGGCTACATCTCAGGCTTTGCCCTGCATGGCTCCATGAGGCTTGTTCCTTGGTCAGGACATGGGGTGGATGCTCCCAGCCCCTCTGTGGCCTGGGGCCCTGCCCACGGCCAGCCTCTCTTCTCCCCCCAGTTCTTCACCTGCCTGGTGATCCTCTTTGCCTGTGAGGTGGCAGCTGGTATCTGGGGCTTTGTCAACAAGGACCAGGTAAGTTGCAGGGGTAGGTCCAGCCCGTGGGTTTTGGGGTGCTCTTGGACTCCTGGGGCCTGCCTGGTAGTGAGCTCTCAGGGGGTTTATGCAGGAGGTGGGCATCAGGTGTAGGGACCACCCTCGAGGGTGCCCACTGTGTGTGACCCCGCTTCTCCCCAGATCGCCAAAGATGTGAAGCAGTTCTATGACCAGGCCCTTCAGCAGGCTGTGGTGGACGATGATGCTAACAACGCCAAGGCCGTGGTGAAGACCTTCCATGAGACGGTGCGACTGGGCTGGGGCAGGTGGGACGGGCGGAGGGGTCCTAGGTGAAGGGGGCCATCCTCGGGGGCAGGAAGAGCCTGACCAGGCAGGTGACTCAGGTCCCTGGCTAGGGATGCAGGGGGTGGCTGTGTGTTAGGTGCCTCTGGCCTTTCCCCTCCATCTCCTGGAGCTCTGGGCAGCTCTCCCCACATGCCTAGAACTGATGGCAATGGCCTTGGTCTCTGCAGCTCAACTGCTGTGGCTCCAGCACACTGACTGCACTGACCACCTCCGTAATGAAGAACCAACTGTGTCCCTCGGGCAGCAACTTCATCACCAACCTCCTGAAGGTGTCTGGGGGACCTTGGGTGGGGTGGGCCATGCAGGGGCCATGGCGGGGCTGCTCTGCCCAAAGGGGTTGGGTGGGTATAGCAGGGGCCTGCCAGGAAGAGGGCAGCCTCTAAAGGTGGACCTCACCCGGGTTCACGCTGCACTCAGGCCAGTGGGCTGGTGCGCAGGACTCTGACCCCAGGCCTGGGGAGATCGTCCTTTGTGTCTGTCACACCAGTGACTCTAGGGTGTAGTGATGCCAATAATGGTGAGAGACACGCCCCCCAAAGGACCCAGGCTGCACATCCATGTGTTTCATGTTTATTTTTAAATGGAAGATAAGCCCCAGGCAGAGCACCAGGTGCTGCAGATGGGTGGAGGGGGGGTGGCATGAGTCCTCTCTGTGCCTTGGAGCGGAGGCCAGCCGCTGACCACCTACTGGCCGCCCCTGTAGGATGACTGCCACCAGAAGATTGATGAGCTCTTCTCTGGGAAGCTGTACCTCATTGGCATTGCAGCTATCGTGGTTGCCGTCATCATGGTGAGCGTTGGGGCCTGTGTTTGGTGGGCACGGTCCCTCCTGAGCCCCTGGTACTGACCTCATCCTCTTCCTCACCACAGATCTTTGAGATGATCCTGAGTATGGTGCTGTGCTGTGGCATCCGGAACAGCTCTGTGTACTGAGCCCCTGCAGTTTTAGCCACAGGAACCCCCGCAGTGCCACCAGAGTGACCCGGAGGCTGCTGAGGGCTGTCACCATCTGTGTATATAATGTTTCCGGTATTACTCTGCTACACTTAGCCTTTTCACTTTTGAGGTTTTGTTTTTGTTCTCAACTTTCCTGTTACCTTTTTGGGGCTGAGATCACGCATAGGTGGCTGTGTGGGGGTGGAGCTAGCCTGGGCCTTGGGGATCCTGTGCTTCTGGGCCCCTTAGGGAGCTCTGTCTGCTGAGCCAGCCCACTCCTGGGGCCTCTTCACCCAGAGGCTCAGTGTGGCCAAGCTGGGGTCTGTGTCCACCCACTCTGCCCATCCTGTGGGCTGCACATTGCTCACATCTTTTTTAATCCTTGTCCCTCTACTGCCCCCATTTTGAGAGCTGGGCCTGTGAGCACTCTTATGCCTTCAATGTACCTGTCCTTTCTAACATGTCACCTTCAATTGTAATTACAACATCTTGAAACAGTCATTTAATAAAGAAGGAAAATCAGGCATGCAAATGGGACTGTAAAACTTCTTCCTGTGCCAGCAGCATCTGAGACCCAGGGAAAGCCTGGTGTGCATACACCTCAGCTTAGAACTTTGCCAAGCCCAGGGTGAGCTGGCTCAAGAGGGGCTGTGGGCCACAGTGGGTGGGCAGGACTGGATCCCTAGGGAGCACAGGTCCCAGCACAGGACCTGTGTCGGTTCCCTTACTCTGGGTGTCCAGCTTCAGATGGCCCTACACCAGTTTGACCTTGTTCTTACTTCACCTGTTGGACGCACCAAGTGCAGAGATGGAAAGGAGGGGCCAGTCAGCCAGAGAATTCAATACAGGATTGCTGGGGGTGGGGCTACAAGACCCCTTTACTCCTAATGGATTGCTGCTGCCTTCCAAGCATCTAGGTGCCTAAAATGTTCCATTGAGCTGGATAACTAAGGGCCTAAGCTCATGTCTAAGGGTCCCACTGGGATGAACTCGGGCTTTGAGGTTAAGTGGCCTGGGCACCCCGACCCCCACTGTCTTTTTCTCTTTGACCTCTTATAGCCAATAGCTCTATCTAGACTCCTGTCTGTCCCCCCACTCCTCCAGCTGCTTCCCCTAGTCGGGATGGGGATGCTGGCATGTTTAATTGGCCTCAGGAGGAAAGGAGAGCCTGCCTGGGATTCATGTGTCAGCTCCCAGCAGCCTCTTACAGGCTTATTGGAAACCAGCCCCAGCCCTGCACTGGGGGTATCTACAGGGTTTTGCAGTCCTCCTGGGACCTTCTAGGGTGAAGTCCTGGTTGGGTTAGTTGCTAGGGATAGCTTGCCTAAGCCTGGGAGTTGCCTTCAGGCATGGGCTTCTGGAAGCAAGACCATGGAATCCTCCTAGGGTTTAGGGAGGGAGGAATAAGGCATTCCAAAGGTGCACAGCAGCCCAGACCACTGAGGAACAAGCCCCACTTCTGTGTCTCCAGGCAGGGCCACAACTCCTTGGACCCTGGTCTCTTAGTGGATGTTGAGAGGGCAGGCCCCGGAGGACGGAGCCATTGCTAGCCCTTTAGCAGCGAGGTCACCAAGCAGTGAGAACTAGGCACCCCAGGCACAGAAGGGGTAACGGGTGCGGGTCACCTGGGGTCTGGCGGCCAGAAACGTGGCCTGTCAAGGGAGAACCCGACCCTGGTCTCCAATTCTGCAGGAAGGTGACCTGCCCCATCTGCTGTAGCCAGGTTGGGTCAGGCCGTCAGCTCCCAAGCCTGGCAGCCATCAGAGTGGCCTTCGGGCTGCAGGTCAGGCCTCGGGTCCTGGCTGGACCAGCAACTGGCAGCACGAGTAGGCAGAGCCTCCTAAGCCCGGACCAACGCCCAGACAACGGCCACACACCAAGGCCAGCACAGCAGAATCCTTGGTATGAAGGGCGGCCCAGCCCCGCCCAGCCCCGCCCAGCCCCGCCCGGCGGGGCACAAACGGAGTCCTAGGGCAGCTACAGCTACCGCTTCCGGCCAGAACCGGAACTTCTCGGGGATCGAGTTCACGCCCGCCAGACGGGATGACGCGCTTCCTGCCTGACTTAGGCGCTGTTCCCACGGCTTCCGGCAGGCGGCGGTGGAGTCCCGGCACGCTTACGTGATTGGCAATAAACCCTGGAGCATTGTGGGACTCGCAGCCCTGGCTCCGCCTCTTCCTTCTCGCTTCAGTCAATTCCCGGCGGATTTCCGGGCCCACCCTGGACACCAGGGATGGAAATGTTAGGTAGCGTAGACGCATGCGCACAGGCCGCACGACCCGACAGGCCTAGGGCGGTGGCCCGGTACTTTGTGGGAAATGTAGTTCTTTGGGCGCAGAAACCGCGGCACGAAAACTGAGGGAGACTCGGTTTCCCAGAGGGCTGAGCGCGGGTGGGCGAGGACCGCGGTCTGAATCCTGCGGGTTCCCGACGCTGTGAGCCAGCCCAGCGCCGGGGAAAAAGCCGAACGCCGGAGAGACCCCACCGGCCAAGAGGACACGGATGCCGGAAGGGTCGGCGCCGGCTGCCGCTCTCGGCAACCTCAGGACCAGAGCCTGGCGAGTCTCTCCGGCCCTAAACAGACCCCCGTCCCCTCCTTCTGGGCGGCCCTGCTGCAGGGGCGGTCGTGTCTGATCTCGGGCGCCGCTCTCTTGTCGGTCTATGCCACGCCCGTGGCTGTTTGCACCACACCTTGCCGGGTCGCGGCAACAGAGCTCTGCGTTTAGCCGGGCGGGCCTCGGGGTCTGGGTCAGAGCAGGTAGCGGACTGGTGGAAAGCCGGTGCCCTCGTGCCTGGCTGGTGTTGGGCCCCCGACCTGCGGTCGCCCACCTGTAGTACATCTTTTGCATGTGCACCCTGTGTTCTGATGGTTGACTCTCTTCTCAGTCCCAACCCAGCAAGCTGCTCCACATCTGGGCCTGACTGTATACACTGTGCTACCCAGGACCTTTATCTGGGCCTCGCCCGCTTGGCTGACCTGCCAGCGCTCCCCCAGGCACGTGGTAAGCACGCAGGAGGTGAGAGGAGGGCTAGGGAGGCCAGGTGAAGGTCTTCCTGCCTGGGGCTTGTGGCTGCAGGAGGTCTTGACCTACACCACTCTCTTCATGACAAATTCCGACTGCTTTTTTTCCAGGTGTGCCGGGTCCAGGTCCACATGGCCGAGGCAGAGGTAAGGGAGGCCAAGCAAGCAGCCGAATATGACGCTCTGCCTTCTGACACCGTGTCCCTCAGCGACTCTGACTCTGATCTGAGTCTGCCAGGAGATGCTGAGGTAGAAGCGCTGTCCCCAGAACGGCCGTCAGGGGAGGCTCAGGAGGACTCAGGCCCTGAAGAGCCCCTGGAGCCCCCTGCCCCCGTGCAGCCCTTCCACCTCCGAGGCATGAGCTCCACCTTCTCCCAGCGCAGTCACAGCATCTTTGACTGTCTGGAGGGAGCTGCCCAGCGGGTGCCACCCTCTGTACCCCGAGTCAGCATGAGTGATAATGACTTCAAGCGGCCCCTGGCACCCTCCAGCCAGCCTGCAGCTGGGGGCCTGGGCAGGGCCCATGGGAGCCCTGGCCCCCCAAGAGTGTCCCGTGTTCCAGACTATGTGGCACACCCTGAGCGCTGGACCAAGTACAGCCTGGAAGACGTGGCCGAGGGCAGCGAGCAGAGCAATCAGGCTGCTGCCCTGGCCTTTCTGGGCATCCGGAGCCAGGCGACTCCCGCTGACTACCTACCCTCCTTCAACCAGGACCCCTCCAGCCGCGGGGAGGGAAGAATGGTCTTTACCAAGCCGGCCCGAACAGAGAGGAAGAGGGTCCTGAAGAAGGGTGTACTGGCCTCAGGTGGAGAGGGCCCTGTGGAACTGGCCCATCTAGCAGGGCCTGGGAGCCCAGAGACTGAGGAGTGGGACGGCCCCCAGGGACTGCCAGAGGTAGGGATGCTTCCAGAGACTGCCAGCACTGAGTCCTCACCGGGCCCCCTGGGGGTGGAGGCTGTTGGCTTCCACGGTAGCAAGAAGCGGAGCAGAGAGCACTTCCGGAACAGGGGAAGCAGCCCGGAGGGCCCAGGGGCAGGGGTGTGAGAGGCTGTGAAGTCACTGTCACAGGTGGAGGAGGAGCACCCCTTGGTGAGATTCCTGTAGGGGGCGCTACACCCCATCTGGCACTCCGGCCATTCTCCCAAGCAGAGACCTCACAGGCTTAGCGCAGTGCGGGCTGGCTAAGGGATACTGGAAGTCTTTGCTTCAGTGCCTCGGGGGAGGGGACAGGGCAATAAAGGCATTGGTCTCCCTCAGGTTCTGTGTCTCTGTGGGTCCCAATTGCCCGTAGGGCTCCAGCAGCTGCTGTGGACCTTGTCTGCTGTGTCCAGCTTCACTCAGCACTCCATCCCCACACCTGACTCTCCAACACAGTCGTGGGGCTGGACACCTGCTGTAGTCATTGGTTCATCTACCCACAAGGACAAGTCTTGAGCAGCGTGGCTCAGCCCAGTGTCCAGTTCTGTGCTGACTGCAGGCCTTCCACAGAGGCCCGAGTGTGGGCACGTTGGTAGAGGTTAAGCAGGTGCTCCCAAGGTGTGTGAGGATGGCCACACACCTAGGTGTCCTAAGAGCATGTTGCCAGGACTCCTTATGCAGGGCACCGTTGGTGCCATGTGCTATTGCTGGGAGCTATTCACCAGTCTTGCCCAGGCTGGGCCTTGGGGGACAATGATGGTCCTCTAGTGCTGGGAAGGCAGGAGTGAGCACATGTTCCTTATGACTAGGCCCACTGGAAGCCAGGGAGCTGGCCTGCTGTGCTGCTAAGTGCAGACCTACCCCTCCTCTGCAACCTCATTCCAGTGCTGGAGGTCCCCAAGAAGAGGAGGAGCCAGCCTGGCTGGTCACTTTGCTTAGTAGCTAAGATCCCAGATTTCACCTCATGGGGCTGGCAAGCCCTTTCTCTGCCCCCAGGGGTCTTACTGAGATGGGGATGTGGGTGCCCCAACAGCCCCTGGTGTCCAGTGTGATCTCCAGGCTCTGGCATTTGGGCACTTGTGGGGGCTGTATCCTGGGGTCATTGTTGCCCTGGACACGAGATGTACCAGCCATGGGGCAGAGGGGGAGCTGACAGAGTGGACACCTGGCCCAGCCCTTTGGGAGCTGCTCAGCTGCCTCACAAGGGCCATTGGGTCTTCAAGGCAGAAACCATAACTACTAGTGTTTGAAGGAATGGCTGATCTCTTATCTAGGAACACAGGGTAGAGCAGGGACAGATCCCAAAGTAGCTGCCCAGCCGAGGCAGGAGGTGCCCACACTTCACAGCTAATGCTGCTGTTCCAGCCAGATGGGAGCATGGAGGAGCCCACCAGCCAGTCTTCCTAGGAGTCCCAGAAAGGTGCCAAGAGATGGGCTTGTTTTCAAGGGGGGACATCCAGGAAGAGGTGACCTGTGATGAGGCTAAGAGGACCACTTCTCGGGGCTGTGCTGCAGGTAGGGGAAGATCATTATGTTCCCAAAGCTCAAGATGGACAGTGAAGTGCCAGGACTGGGGCTCCAGGACAGGTGGGCCTGTGGCATCAGTTGTCTGAAGGTAGCAGGCTGGCCTCTGGGTTCTCCCTGTTGCCAGGGTCCCCTGCGTGGCCAGCAGGGGCCTGTGTACTCCCACCACTGCAGCTCTGAGGGCCTGCTGGGAAGAAAGGGCTTCCTCAGCGGGTGAGTGCCAGCCAGAGGCAAGGGCCAGTTCATGGTGGCTCTCAGAGTGGCCAAGGTACAGCCCAGTAGGGCCAGTGCTAAGCAGAGCGTCAGAAATCTGGGACCCCCAGGCCTTATGCCCTGACAGGCACCTGCACCCTTCAGTAGCAGTGGCAGCCGAGGGCATCAGAGACCTCCAGTACAGGGGAGGAGGCAGCACTGCACTACCTGTGGGCCCTGTCACCTGCCTCAGACCAGCACCCTTGGCCCTTGAGAGGGCACCCTTGGCCCACCTCAACTCCACGCCCCAGAATCAAACTTACTCCAGTTTGTGCCGCCCGGAGCTGTCGTGTCCGCCATGGAAGACAGGAGCAGCATGCAGTAGTTGACCTAGAGGGGGCCAGGGGAGGTGCCAGGACATGGGACGGGGACCCTCCCATCCTCCCCCTCCACACACTCCTGCCAGGGGCACTGCTATGATGGAGCCCCTCCCTCTGGGCAAGGTTCCAGTGTGTTGTGAGGTGAGTGGCCAGTGAAAGTCGGCAGTGAGAGACCTTCAGGTCTGTAGGGCCAGCTCTGGGAGGAGCAGGCCAACGTGCCTCTGCCCTGGGGCCTTGCCTGCCCTGTCCACAGGGGGCCCTCTGCTCCTGCCCAGGCCCTGACTTGACCCATTGGTTTGCATTGTGGGTGCAGGACTGTGTCATGCCCATGTCATCAGCTGGCCAGCCACTTCAGGAAGGAGAAGGGAGTATTGGGTTTCCTGGCTTGCCTGTGATTCCAGACACTTGAGGCGCTTTTCTTGCTCTCTCAGACCCCCAAGATAGTTGGCAACCAAGTCCACTCTGTGGAGAAGCAGAGGAAGTCACAAGCTGGACAGTCATGTGACGCTCCACACGGGAAACTTGCCCTCCTCCCACTGTCCCCAGACCTCTGGCCCCTTCCCACCCTGCTCTCCTCTCTCCAACTTCTGCACCCTCCCAGAGGGTTAGGAGAGTCCATCCCTGCCTGGGGCACACCATCCAGTGAGGGGGCACCTGGCAGGATGTCCCCACCCATAGGTGGGCAGGACCAGAGCCCTTGGAGTGAGGGCTGGGGATGGATGTGCCAGGTCTGGAGAGAAAGAAGAGCCCCATAGCAGGGATACACCACACTTCTTATGTCATGTCCCTGACTACAGAGCAGACAAGGCTCTGGCAGAGCCCCACATGAGTGGGAGGCAGGCTGATGGGCACTGGCACCATCTCCCTGACCCCTTTCCTAGCCTCAATTTCCCCAGTTCACTGACACTAGAAGGCCTCACCCAACTTTAGGGCACCACCCTCTCCCCGTGAACAAGGTGGAGGTCCCTGGGATGCTTATGCCAGGCAGGAACTTTCCAGATCTCCTGCCCCATCACAGCATCCTTCAGACCAAGACCAGCCAGCCTGTGGTTCAGGGAAACAGACAGCCAGGTTACAGCTGGGTCCACCTGCCCCCAGGGCACAGCCCTTTCTACATTTCTGGGCAACCCCGTGAGCGGGCCTGGCTGCAGCTTCCAGCCTGCTACACTAGTGGAGGTCTGAGCCTCCGTGCACCTGGTCTCTGGGGTCCCACACGCCACCCCATCCTGTACCTGTGGGCAGTTTTCCGCAGCACCTCCCCCTCACTGTCCCTCCTCCTCCTCTCCTCGTTGCTCAGGAAGTTCTCCTTTTGAACTGTCTCCCAGGTGACGATCTTCTGGTCCAGAGGGTCAGGCAGGTCTCTCTCTGGAAAGGCAGGGAACAAAGGCAATCCTCAGTAGAGCCCTGTGGCCTTCTAGGGCAAAGCCCAGGCCTAGGGTGAGGTGGGGGAGCTCAGGAGCAGGGCACAAGGTGATCAGCAAGGACGGGCCTCCATGCAGGGACCTCAGCTGCAAGGAGACAGGCTGGGCCTGTGTCCCCCTGTTCTGGGCCGGAGGCACTGGTCAGCCTGCACCTAGAGCCAGGGCGTTGTCCTGCAGCCAGGGCTCTTGAGATGGCTGACGTCCAGCCTGTGGCCTCACCCAGGTGCTCCCGCTTGTGCTGGGCGGCCTTCCTGAAGACACGCTTGAGCACCAGGCTCAGGTGACTGAGGAGGATGAAGGGCGGGGCCAGGGCAGGGCGCCCGTGGTACTCCACGATGAGGTGATAGCGCTGGAACTTCCAGAACATGTCAGCATTGCCCTGCACGACCTGAAACGTGTAGCTGCAGGACACACAGCCGAGCCCCTCACCCCACTGGCCTCCTGCTCCAAGCGTACATCCCACCCCCAACCCATCCCCTTTGGGTAACCAGGAGCAAGTGGGGCTGGCTCTGGAGGCCCAGCACCCCTTCTGTAATGGTGAGCTGCAGTTGGGTCTACTCCACTGCCCATCTGCTCTCCCAAGCCCACCTGGGGCTTTTCTTGCGCTGCTGAGCCCCTAGATCCTGCAGACCTCAGCTCTGCTTCCTGGGAGGACAGAGGGTGGCTACAGAGCTGGGGTGGGCTCCTTAGTGCTGATCTGTGCCTCTTCCTCACAGCCAGGGTGTCCTCCCTCTGCTGGAGAGCCAGGCCAGCCAACCCAGAAGCAAGGTGCCAGGGACCCAGGCTTCAGCCTGCACCCCAGCGGCAGGGCCAGAACCAGCTGCACTGAGGGGCTAAGAGCTGGGGGTCCCCAGGCACCCTGCGTGTGAACACAGCAAGGCCAGGGCAGCCCAGGTGGGCACCTGAACATGGCGATAAGCAGATTCATGAGCAGCACGTTGGTGACCAGCAGGAAGGTGACCAGCAGAAGGATGACCAGCCAGTTGGCGTAGAGGTTGGGGCAGGAGGGCGAGTCCTCTTGCAGCAGGGGGTGGATGGAGCAGTTCACGCGGGCTTCTGTAAGGCCAGAAGGAGCACTCAGCACTGGGAGAATGGGCTTGGGGCTGAGGCCACCAGAGCACAAGGGCTGCAGGTGGCCCCTGTCCCGCTTTACACGGCATCGTCTCGGTTTTAGCACCAAAAGTCCCAAGGGGGAAGCCCCAGTCCCAGCAAACCAGACAGAAGCACAGCCTAGCACCGGTCGGCATCTCCCCAACTCTACTGGGCTTCCACATCGTGGAGGCAGAGCCAAGGAAGGCCAGGCGTGGAGAGAGGTAAGGACAGAAAGATTTTGGGGCCGGTTTCTGCCTGTCATTGCATGAACTAACTCCCCCATTTCCCTCATAACAGCTCACTAACTTCTATCTAGGCCCAAACTGAAGGCACCAGAGCCCACTCTGGCCTGAAGAACATTCTGTCTGTGCATTTTGGATGCTGACAGGCTGAGCTCCTAGGCCCTGGGCACAGGCAGCCAGGAAGGGCCACTCCAGCATGCCCAAGTGGCCTTAGGCCATAGCTCCAACCCCATGGTGCCAGACCTTCACCCCCGCAGGGCCCAGACCCAGGCCCACACCCCCTCCCAGTCTTCAGAGCAGGTGGTGGAAGGAGCAGATGGAAGTCAGGGCGAGCACCCTGTTCCCCCCCCACCCCACCAGCCATCCCCTCTTCTCAGGGAGGAGCCCCTGGCTCCAGTTCTCTCCCACACTGTGTGCTTGTATGTGGTTTTGTCTGTGTGTGTGCACACACGTGTGGGTGTGGCTGTGTGCCTGCCCACACATTCGAATGTGTCCCTGTGCCTACCTCTGTGCTGGACTCACTCCCTGGGGAGAGGCCGTTCTGGGGCTTTTGTTTCTCAAGATCCATCTGTGTGTATCTGGTGACCCTGTGGCCCAGGGACACACTGACCCACGTTTGTGTCCCCCATCGCCGGGGCAAATCCCTGTCTTGTTGCTCTGCGTGAGTTACTGTGATGGGGGAGCCAACATGTGCGCTAGAGTGCTGTGTGGAAGGTGCATGTCTCAGTCAGGGCGTGCCAGGTCCTGTCCTACTCCCTCCATGGCTGCCCTAGCAGCCCCCAGTCCATGTGTCTGCTCCTGGGACTGATTCATGACCCTCGTCCCTCCCCATGGCACCTCAGAGAGGTGGCCAGTGTTGGTGTTTTGAAGCCATAAATCTGTCTGATAAAACACCTCGAAGAAAATGAGACCCCACACCCTCCCCAGGATTTGAGAAGGTGCCACTGGGCCAGGCTAGACACAAAATTGCCCCTGGGGCTTAGAGGCCCCACAGGGAAGGAAGAGCGAGTGGTGTGTGGAGGGGAGGGCCCCTGGGATCTGCAGGCTGGGAAGGAGTGGCCTGGGCCTCAGTTTCCCTCTCAGCCCAGGCATGTTAGAGAATAATGAACCTCTAATGGCCTGGATGGTGAACCCACAGGGTCCAGAGAGAGGGTGTTCAGTGAGCCCTGACCACAGATTTCTCATGGCTAGACTCTGCCTGTGTCATCCACAGTAGATGACAGACCTTTTGGGGACAGCCCTGGGCTAGGGTACATCTGCATCCCCTCTCTGCTTTCCCCAGGTGGCACCTGCCCCAGAAGAGATGGGAGTTGCACCAGGCCTGTCCCCCATACAGTGAAGAGGGCATGTGAGTGGAGAAAGAGGGGATCCCCAACCCAACCATGCCAAGGCTGAGCCACCCACCTCACCCCTCCTGTCCTGAGAGGTGCTGGGAGGGACTGTGGGGGCCATATGGTAAGGGTGGAGGTGTGGAGGGCCAGCAGGGTCTGGTTAGACTAATGGTCCAGAAAGCTGATGCCCAAGGTGAGCAAACACCAAAGGCACAGTGAGGTGGGGGCTAAGAAAACAACTCCAGGAAATGGCCTGGGGACACCCCAATTAGGAGGCAATTTCCAGCCCTGCTGTCCCTGGAGGCCTGTATTTGCTCCAATCTCACTGTCATCCACTGACAAATATTTATTGCATGTCTTGATGGCCAGCCTGGTCTCATTAGTGGCCTTTTCCAGGATGGCTTGTGCGGCCCATCGATCTGGGGTGGCCCCAAGCCCCCAACTCCAGCCAGAGTAAATGACCCTTGTTCAGCCACTCTGTGTCCCATTTCCCACCCATGGTATCCAGGAATGCCACATGGGGCCAGCACCCCTGGGTTCCCACTCTGGCCCATCTTGCTGGAGTTGCTTGGGCCCCTCTGTTCACCAAACCCTAGCCACCCCAGGGGCCTTCATCCTGGCCTCAGGGTTCCCCCCTCCTTCATCACCACTGAGACCCCCATCCCCACTTGTCATGAGGAAGCTGCCAGTCTCCACCAGCCCTAGCCAGGTGCAGGGCTTGGCTTGGGGACACCCACAACTAGACAGGCCAGCCCCCTCCAATGACAATAGGCAACACACACACTCTGGGAGGGTCCCTAGCAGAAGTGAGGTGCTGTAGGGAATGGTGTGGAGTCTCGGTGAGCAGGTGGTGATAGGAAGGCCTCAGCCTTCATCTCAGGGGGCAGTGAGCCTCTGCAGGGATAGTCAGGGTAGCACTCGCAGTGTCCCCTCAGCCCTCTGTCCTCCATAGGCCACCCCCAAACTTGACTCTCCCTTTGGCCTCCCCAGGCAGGAGAAAACCCCTGGCCACCTTGGGGTCTCACTCATTTCACAGCCTGAGTGAGGTTGGGGCTCTGTGACTAGGCTGACCCTGCCTCTGCCCCAGGTCTGGGCCTGGCTGTGAAGCTAGCTATGCTGGGCCCCTGGGGTTGTAAAACACCGCACTGGTGCAGAGAGTCCCCACAAGCCACCCCCAGCCAGCTGCAAGCGCACCGTCGATCTCATCCAGCGGGATCTGCCCAAAGATCTGCAGGTATGGCCGATAGAGCACACGGCGGAAGATCCACTCGAGACGGCCGTCCTGGGGGTGCAGCAGTGCCTGGGTGGTCACACCATAGGCCACGAGCCACACACTCAGGAAGAAGAGGAAGAAGAAGACGTCCTTCATCTGCAGGGGCAAGCAGGTCAGCAGGCGGTGGAGGGCCCCTCCTCCACCAGGGTTGAATGGAACCAACCACCCAGGGCCCCGGCTCGCCATCCACCCACGGTGGGAATCTCAGGCTGGTCTCCACCTACCGGGGTCAGGGATCTCAGGGGTCTTACCATCCGCTCCACAATGATGATCTTGGGGCCCAGTTGCTTGTGGATGGCAAAGATGTGGATGAGCCGAAGTGTGAACACCATGAAGTCAATGGCGAGCACCGTGCGGCCTGCCTCAAACACTGAGGGCAGCACCCTGCAGAAGGGCACAGCTGGACAGGGCCGCTAGAGCCCAGAAAGGGAGAGAGACTTCCCCAAGGACACAGAGCATGTTGCCAAAAAGCAGACGCCATGGGTACCCCCGATTTCAGAGACCCAAATGCCTTCCCCTGAAACCCGCCCACCTGAGGTCACAAAGCCTCGGACACCACAGACCTGCAAGTGACACCGATGATGAACAGGAAGATGGCCACCATGTCACACTTGTTCCAGTTGTCCTCCACATACAGAGTGAACTTCTTCACCAGGTTTGTGTCCTCATCTGTGAAAAAGCCCTGGTGGAGGGAGACAGTCTGAAGACAGCTGCCCAGGCCACCTTTCAGAGACAGCCTGGCCCCATCTAGAAGCTGCAAGGATCAGGGCTCAGTCTGCATAGTAAACAGGGTTCCACCTGTGTCAGTACCCAGCCTGTGGCTGCAGTTAGAGTAGATTGAAGCTTATTTTTCTGACCTCAAAAACTGAGGTCAGTCTGGACTTGGAGTCAGGGCTCCATGTGGCCAGAGTCCAGGATCAGCTCGTACTGAATGTCTGGACTCAGTCAGTGATCCAGGCAGGGTTCAGACGCTGACTGAGCAGACCATGGTTGTGCTCAGTCTGGAGTTGGAATCAGGGCTTGGCCTGGAGCTGGGATCAGGGCTCAGTCTATGACCAGGATCAAAGCTCAGGAGACTGGGCAGATAGGAGGCCCTATCTTCAAGGCAGGACCCTGAGTTTCAGAGCCCAGGTCCTTGGCTTTTCTGGTCACTGACCTGTCGGATTTCCTCCAGCACCAGCGTGAAGACCCAGAAGTAGAGGATGACTTCAGGCCCTGATGGCCCTTGGGGAGGCGGCCTGAAGTCCACTAGCAGGACGTAGGTGAACAGGAAGAGGAAGGCGAAGTACATGACCACATTCCCCAGGAACACAGTCACGGGCGCACCCCAGAACTTCTGCCAGCGCGTGAGCAGAAAGGCAGCTCGCGGGCCTGCGTTGCCATGGGCACTGGGCCTCTGCACCCTGTCCCAGCAGAAGGGAGTTCGGAGTGATGAGGTGGGCACCTGGTCGCAGTGCTCTGAGGGAGCCAGCCTCTGCCCACCACCTCTTCCAGCCTCCTGCCACCACCCGCCAGCCCCTCCATCCTGCCTGTCCCCTTGGCCCCTTACTGGCCACCCGGGCTGCACAGCAGGCTCCTCTCTGCATCCAGGCTGTCCAGCTCCTGCAGGTCCTCCAGGCCTGACTTCACCGGGGTGTCCTCACTGTGGTACAGGGACACTTAGGGACCTCAGGACAGGCACCGACTCAGCCCAGCTAGCAAAGAATGTGTTGGGCCCACTGAGGACAAGGGCTGATGTGCCCAAGTGGACACAGAGATGCAAGACTTGGGGACCCAGAGAGGCTCTGGCACTGGCTTCTGCCTCTCTGACCCACCTGAAGGTGATGAGGTTAGTGTAGATGAGGGCGGGGCAGGTGAAGGCCCCCAGCAGCCACAAGATGGATGTACCTGTCACCATGTTCCCCCACCAGATCTTGGTCAGGAAGGCCTGGAATAAAGGCATAACGCTAGCTGCCCACCTCCACGCATTTGGCCATATGGTGCCCGGTGCCTGGCCAGGCGTTTGGGAGATCCACCTGCTTGCATGTGGGCTGCCCCAGGAGCCTCCGCCCCGGATGGAGGATGGGCAGGAGGAGGATTTTGCTGTTCTTGGGGAATTTCCATAAGCGATCTAAGTGCTTGGGCTGAGCCAAGCAGGTGGCACTTGCTCTGAGACCCAGAGCATCTCTGGCAAAGGGAGCAGGAACAGAGTGCCTTCCCTTCATCAATGGGACATGGGGAGACAGCTGCAGGCCGAGGGGAGGGGTTAGTTGGGGCCCCACATTGTCCCAGGGGTGGCCTGGGCCTTGCCGAACACTTGGCCCCTGGGGCCTGCCTGATGCTGATTGGCCACTCACCTGGACGCCGTCGTGGGCAAAGAAGGCCTTGGTATCGGCCTCGGTGGCCAGGTGCAGGCAGGTGGTCCTGCTCCAGCTACGGTTCCGGCGCACCAGCAGGGCAAAGGCTCGGTCTTCACTGTTGCTGTAGCACTCGGAGAAGAGGTCTACCCACGGAGCTGCCTGTTGGGATGGGTGCTAACACCCCTCCCAGCCCCTCCTCTGCCCGAGCCAGGCCCTGTAGGACGTGCCCTGTGTCCACCTCCCAGCAACCAGCCAGGCCCGTACAGCCAGGCCACTGACCATCCCTGCCTAACTTCCCAAGACCCTTTCTTTTCTTTCTTTGTGTTTTGGCAGTTTGGGGACTTGAAATCAGGGCCTTGTGCTTACTAGGCAGGCGCTCTACCACTTGAGCTGCTCCACCAACCCTTTTTTTGTATTTTCAAGATAGGGTCTCTCAAACTGTTTGCCCAGGGCCGGCTCCAAAATGTGATCCTCCTGATCACTGAGTAGCTAGGATTATAGGTGTGAGTCACCAGTGCCTGGCATCCAAAATCCTTCCTTAACCTCTCATCTTCACTTCCCTGTCAAGACTGTGGGGCCTCCGTCATCCCAAATGTCCTCCGTCCTGCAGCAGGATGCTGTGTCCAGGAAGGTGGGGCTTCATCATCTCTGTTAGGACTTTAGGGCTGACCTCCACCCCCCCAGAAGGAGCTGTCCTCTGTCCTGTTCTACAGAGGTCACCAAGGTCACCCTGGCCATGCAGGCCCCTTTATCTGAGTCCATTGCCCTGCTGGACTGCCACCACTTACCCAGGGCCAGCTGCTCGTACTTGGCCTCTCTCATGGTGCGGGCCACCTCAGCCTCCGTCTCGAGGCGGGACATTTCCTTGATGATTTTGCAGGCGGCCAGAGCGGCAGCTACACCTTCCTGGCCCTGGAAAACGGGGCCTCAGGGTGCAGCTCACCTCTCCCCACCACTCCCAGCCTCCCTCCCCAGGAATCCTGAGGGAGCCCAGGCCCAGCCCGGACCACTCACCATGGCCCAGAAGTAAGTGGCCATCTCGTAGCGGTTCTGCAGCACGGCCCACAGGAATAGGTCTCTCCAGGGGTCCTCGCTCTTCTGTGTGAGGTCCAGCAGCCATTTCTGGCCTGGGGGTCGCTTGGCGGGCCCCCTCTCCTGGGATACACAGATGTTGGTCTCCAGCCTGGCCCTGCCTCCTCCAGGGGCCTCCAGTCAGCCCCCACTCACCGCCATCCTCCGGCCAGCCACCCGGCTGTCCTGGTAGAGGCCACGGCAGGCGTCGTGCAGGAAGTCCTTGAGCACACGGGAGACCTCTTGCAGTGAGAAGGCGGGAGGCCCAGCGGGTGGCTCCCGGGCCTGCTGCGTGCCCAGGCCAGCTAGCGTCAGCCGGCCCTCCTCGTGCTTGCGTTGCAGCAGGTCGAAAAGCAGGCTCTTGGGGGACACGGAGCGGTAGAGCTGCTGCAGCCGCCCATAGGTCAGGAATTCAGCCATGTCGGCTCCACTGTCCACAAAGAGGCGCACGAACTCTGGCTTATTGCTCACCAGGGCGTCCATCATCACCTCCTCCAGGTCACAGGACTGGACTCGCCCGGCAGAGGGGAAGACAGGGACAGTGAGTGGAAGGGTAGAGGGGCCAGGGCACCCCAGCCTGTCCTGGGTGCCTGGGACAGGAAGGGTCCTATGTGTTGGCCAGTGCTGAGGGGATCATAACCCTGAACTTTGGACTGATTTGTGTCTCAGGGTAACCCAGCCCATCCTTCGGGGGTGTCCTGCCCTCATCTTGACCCCCTCCAAGCCACCCGTCTGAGCATAACAGGGCCCCAATGGGCCAAACTAGCAGCCCTGGGATTCCAAGCCCTCAATGTGTCCCTGCCCTGGGCCCAGGACCCAGGAGGCACCTTCCACTCCACATCCCCACTGAAGATCTCGCTCTTCGCAATGTCCACGCGGTCCCAGGCCACAGCCAGCTTGAGCTCGTCCAGGTAGTCCTGGGCCTCTTGACTGTGGCTCTTGCAGGCTGTGGGCAGAGCAGGCAGGGGTGAGGACCCACGCAGAGTCTAGGGCATGCAACTGGAATGTCGTGTAAGGATGGTGGCTCGTGGGAATAGAAGCAAGAGGCTCCAGGAGCTGGTGTGGGTGCCCAGGGCCCCCGGTCAGGATGCAACGAAGCCGAAGGGAGCCTCCAGGGAAGGGAGACCTCAGTTAACACCCCTTCCTACAGATGGCACAGGGCAGCACATTCCCACACAGGCACATTTCTTCCACAGGAAGGACTTTCTGTCACAAGTTGGCCCTGCAAGGTCACTGGGGTGAGGCCCTGCTGTTGTGTGACTGTGAAGCGGACACCAAGTCCATAGACTACTAGGACAGCAGTGTGACCTGTGGGTGGCAGTGAGGGGTCCTGCCTGGGGTTCCCTGAGCCGCCCTGTCCTGGGAGAAGAGTCACTGACAGTCCAGACACCCTTGCTGGAGGGGCCCCTCACCTGAGTGTCCCTGACCCTTGCCCAGTACTGTCCTTTCCAGCCTGCGCCTTTGTCCTGCTGGCCGAGGTCAGCCCTGTGGTGGGCTTCTCTCCAGTGCAAAATGCATAGAGTGGTAACAGACGCCCCCATCAGCTGATGTAAGGATGAACACTAAGCTCCATCCATGCTATGGTCTCAGGGAGGAAGGAGAGAGTGGTACCCCCTATAGCACAGATGGATTTGGGGACATTGCTCAGTGAAGGAAGCCAGACACAGTAGACACTGGTTCCATTTATGTAAAATGCACCAAGAGCTCGAACCCACAGTGTCAGAAAGTTGCACAGATGCCAGGGGCTGGGGACAAGGTGGAAGGGATGCTGAGGGACACGGAGCTTCTTTCTGGGGTGATGGAAATAGACAGTAGACTGCAACTGTATACTTTTTTCAAACTGCGGTAATATGTGTGTTTAGAACAGCACATCTCATAAAATTCGCACACAGAACACCTTGCAAATGTGTTGGCAGGCGGGCGTCCAGCACGAACACTGCCAGGGAGGCAGAATGCCAGGTGGCTCAGCACCAGTTGCTAAGCCCAGCCCTGGCCAGCCTCACCTTTCACCAGCGCCTTGAGGATGACTGTGTCCAGGCCCTCGGAGCCCTCCCGCTCGAAGCTGTGCACGGTGAGCAGGTGGGGGTACAAGGTAATGTCCTGTAACTGAGGGCACCAGGCGGAGACCCTGAGGGGCACCCATGGCGGGCATGCAGCTCCCCACGGGAGCCAGCAAGTGCCCACTTTCCCGCAAGCCCAGTTCAGGACCGGCCACAAGGTCCCTCTGCCCCATGAGGGCCTAGCAGCTGAAGCACAGGCTTTGCACACAGGGGGAGGGGACAGGTGGGTACAGACCTCGCTGCAGGGTTTTCCTGAAGAACTAGCTAGCCCCACCCCAGGAGGAGGCTCAGCCCTTCTTCCCCCAGTCCCTGGGCAGCACCTACCAGCTTGGTCCAGTGCCCGATGGCTTCCCAGGAGAAGTGCTCGCCAGGGAACTTCTCTCTAAACTGCTGCTCTACCACCTGTGGCACCAGCAGGTGTGGCTGGTTTACCAGGGCCGCAAGCACATCAGCAATGCCCCCTGAGCCTGCCAGGATCAGCCATGGGGTGGCGTGCTCCACGGCCCTGGAAATCCTCTAGGGATAGCAGAGGGTGGGGGGCAGAGTGGACCCCGAGTCAGCCCAGGTGGAGACACGTGGGGTGCCCCATCCTTCCCTGCCCCAGAGCGTCCTGGAGACCCACCACATCCTCTAGGGGGCTCTAGACAGCCAGGGGCTTCAGCCAGACCCCACAGCCCACCCCTGCACCTACCTCCAGGATGCTGGGGTCACCGTTAACCAACAGACAAAGAACGGGGATTTCGATGCTGCTGGTACCTGCAGATGAGCGGCCTGTAAGCTCCCTCGGACACCCGGGGTAGCCAGCCCAGAGAGGCAGACGGCCTGGGGACCCTCCTCATGAGGTGGAGTGACCACCCAGGCCTCAGACCCTCAACCTGCCAGACTCCTGAGCACATGCTAGTCAAAGTCTTTTCCTAATCAAAGTGTGTCCCAGGGTCATGGGGGACCAGTACCCAACTCTCCACCTGCACTATCCAGGCAGGTCATCATCTGTGTCCAGAGCCAGCTTGTGGCAATTTAAAAATAAAGTAACATAAATAAGCCAGGCACAGTGACTCACAACTCTAATCCTGACTACTCTGGCGGGGGAGATCAGGAGGGTCTATGTTCAAGGACACCCTAGGCAGAAAAGCGAGACTCCTAGGACTGCTCCCCCAAATTAATATAAATAAGATGAAGCAACTAGTCCAGGTTGCACCTGTCACGTCTCCAAGGTCCCACACAGACATCTCAGGGCAACCAGCACAGGATGTCCTGTCAGCGGGCTGCTCTGTGTACCAGGAGGCACACTCAGAAAATCAGAGGGGAAGGAGGGGCACCCCACAGAAGCCGGAGGTGAGGCGTCCATGCAGAAACCTGTCGTTCCCCCCCCCACCCCACCAGAAGCCTGAACCTGTTGGGGTCTTCAGCCTGGGAGCCAGAGTCACCAAAAACTGCCTGGGGACGTCTTGGAACACCTGCAGGGAGGCCGGCTCTCCCACGGCCCCTCTAACTTCCTGATAGACCCTGGATGGCCACCGTGGTGCCCGGGGCCAGCTGGAGGCCAGCAAGAGGACCAGACAGTCCGCCTCCGCAGGCATGGAGTCAGGCACAGCTGTGTTTTCGTTGTTCTCAACAACGAATTGCATTTTTCAACATTTATATTACCCCGACATAGTCTAAGCACTTACGTATTTGTTTAGAAATCAACCGTAGATCACAATTTCCCTACTAACCCTATCTTTCCTACGCTCCCCGCCACAGTGGCACCCAGTCCTCCCGCAAGGCCGCCCTCTGCTGGCAGTGAGGAGAATGGCCAGCAGAGGGACCCGGGCCTCCTGGAATTTTCAGACCTCCTTTGGTGTCTCCTCTAGAGCTGGTGGCCGGGGCGATTCTGCCCAGCTGTGCCCCTCCGCCACCCCTGCCCTCTATAGCCGGGTCTCGGTTCCCAGGCATGCTGGGGGCCTCTTGCCTGGAAGGCCCTTCCCCATCCTCCCTGCTCCCTCCCCGCTGCCCAGTGCTAGGTCCCCAGGTCCCCAGGTGGGTTCCCCGGGTGGTGGGAGCGGGCCTCACCCCCATAGCTAGTCCTCTGCTGTGAGATATGCTTCTCCAGGCTCAGTCGCAGCTCTGCCAGCCCGTCCTCCCTCCCAGGGGGGCCTGGCTCCACCAGGATGAAGTGGGAGAGATTGCAGTCCAAGGGGCAGAGGGGGCCCTGGCTCCCGCCATCGTCTGCAGGGTAGTGGACAGTGCTGTCCTCCTGTGCCACGTGGGGGAGGAGAGATAAGGCAGAGCCCTTAGGCTGGGCTAGGCCCCACCGTGGGATTCTGCCCAGCACCCAGGGACCCTGGGCACAGCTGCAGGGAGGCCTTAGTTTCCCCACCCCTCAGGCGGAGGGAGGCTGGGCCACGGGGGCCCGGCGGCCTCCCCAGACCGGTGGAGGCTATGGAAACTCCTCCTTCTAGACTCTTCTGGGCTGAAGTCCAGCCCTAACATCACCAGGGGCCGCCCAGGCCTCTATTCAGCTGTGCCTTAGGCAGACCCCAGCGTGGGGGACGTGAGGAGGACCAGAGAGTGGAAGCCCCAGGTCCAGGGTTGCACAGGGCCTGGGAGCAATGGCCGGGTCCTGAGGGTCCTGAGAGCCCAGCAGCCATGTGCCCTTCTTCCCAGAGTGATGCTGCCACCTGCTGGCATGGGCTGGACCCCGCAGCCCCCAGGCTGTCCCTCCCACTTCAGCCAAGTCCTGTCCTCCAGAGCTTCACCCCAGGTCACAATCCCTCAGGGACCGGCCCCCCCCAGTACTCCCTGAGTCCCTGAGGCTAGCAACTGCCTGTGCACTGTCCCCTTCCACTCTCCCAGGCCCACTGGACCCCAGTACAGCCAGCTGGGGTCACCTGAACGGTGTCCAGAAGTTGCCCATGCAGGACGCGGCCCAGCGAGGCAATGCCGATGGCCACCACGCGGACCTTGGTGGATGTGCTGGCTAGTGAGTGGTCACGTACCGCCTGCCCGACATGCCGGGCCAGGCCCACGCGGAGGGCACTGGTCAGGATCCAGGCACCTACGGGAGTGGAGGGAGGTCTCCCTGTGCCATGTGGACGCTAGTGCTCCCCTGCTGGCCTGCCCAGGTCCAGTAGGCCGGCCCTGAGCACCGGCCCAACCCAGAGCCGGTGACCTGGGAATCAGGGTTCAGATTCTGGGGAGCACTTTGAGGTACCACTGGGGAAACTGAGGCCCAGGGAAGGGGGTGTGTGGTAGGGAGTAGGTTCACTGCTGGGCTCATGTTGGACGAAGCAGGTCACAGTTCTGCCTATTGCCTGTACTGGACCAGGATTCAAATTACAGATCCCAAAGTCCATGTCTGCCTGGGATGACCTTTCTCTCCTCCCTCCCTCCCTGCTTCCTTTTTCTTCAGTACTGGGAATTGAACCCAGGGCTTTGAGCATCTAAGCAAGTGCACTGCCACTTGAGCCATGTCCCCACCCAGCCCCTTTTTTTAACTTCGTTTTTGACATAGGGTCTCACTAACTTTGCCCCATTGCCACCTCCCAAGCAGCTGGATTACAGGCATGCACCACCCTCATGGGCCTTCTTTCCTCATTGTAACTGTTTCTGCAGCAAAGGGTTTGGAAATTCCAAATACCCCACTGGTTTCCTACGGGCAGAGCCAGTCTCCAACTAAAACACAGTAATTTTATTCTCCAATAGCCAGCTGGCCGGTTGTTTCGCAAGGGAGAGGGGCTGTGGAGCCCTTTCCCCAGAGACACCTGGGTGCATTGGCACAGGCGAGTGACAGTAATGGCTTCTCTCCGAGACCCATGGCCCTAGGAGCGCAGGGGGTAGTTCCAAGGGAGGATCAGGACCCAGCTGGCCCTCAGCCTTGTCTACACTGCATTCCTGTGAACTACTTCCTCCACCGTCCTGGGCACCACCAAGGTGGCCAGGCGTGGGAAATGTCAACAGCCGTGACAGGGAGTTCCACGCTCCAGCGTGGAGCTGGTGTGGGGTGGGCCGTGGCCCGGACAGTCTCACCTGTGCTCTGAGCCGCCTTTACCAGCCCCTTCCGCAGGACGTCCCTCAGCCAGGACTTCATGGCGAAAGGACGCTCCTCGCCCACTAGGGACACCACCAGGTTGGGGGTCGGCAGATGCCACTCGGTGAGCAGCAGGTCAAAGAGCACAGAGGGGGCCACACTGCTTGGCACCTTCACGAACTGTGGGACGGAGCCAGTGGGTTCAAGGCGTGGCATGCAGATGGGAGGGGACTGGGCCTGGGGAACTTGGGGTGCAGGGTGGGCCTGGGCCTCAGGGAACGTCTGGGGAATTCGGGAAGCTGAGGGGGACACTGGGCCCCAGGGTGGCTGGGACTGGGGGAGGAGGCTAGTCACTGTGGGAGGATGTACCAGCAGCACGAGGACAGAGGCCCCTAAGACCCTTCTGGGGCAGGAGGGGTCCTGCCTGGGCCTCAGTGCGATACCCACGTGCTCTGTTGTGAGTGCGTGGAGGGGCTGAGCCCCACACATACACCTTCCAGACCTCTCGGATGGACCTTGGGGGCTCCAATTACCCCCAGAGAGTAGGAGCAGCGGCCAGAGGCACTCCATACTCCAAAATTCGGCCTGTCTGGTGGGGGAGTTCTTTCAACTCCTGGGATCAGCCCCCTGGGAGTGAGTGAGCAGGGGGCATTGGCTTCAGAGGAGGAAGAAGGGCGTGGTAGGTGTCTCCTGGGCTGTGCTGCCCTACCTTGCCTCTCTTCTTCCCAGACTCTCCAAAGTCGACCTCACCCCGGCACAGGCCCTGCCCCCATCCATCTTCAGTGAATGGCGGGCTGCCAGGACAGGGGCCCTGGACGGTCTGCACGGCAGATTCTCTGTGCAACACAGCAACGCTGAGGACAGAGAGGCTACCCACCTCCCTTTGGTGGACTGTGGTGGACTTAGCAGGGGAACCCCCACCTCCACCACCACCACCATGCCTCAGAGGTGGAGACCAGTGTGGGCCATCTCTGCCCCAGCCCCAGCCGGCCCCCACTTGGCCCCCAGGATGGCCCCACCTCCCACTTCAAGGTGGCCTGGGTCAGGAGCTCTTTCCCCATGAGGATGAGGAGCATCTCACCATCTCCTGAGCTCTGGTCCCCATACTCACCGAACCCCAGGCATTAGGCTAGGCCACACCTGTCAGTGGTTCTCCAAAGGGTTGTCCTGGAAACCCCAAAAGGCTTCGTGAGAACTCCCCTTCCAGCCATGCAGCCCCCTACCCTGCCACCCTGGGCACCCTTAGGCGGGCAGATGCCCCAAGTCACGAGTGGAGGCCTGGAAGGATGGAGTGGAGCAGGGAAGGGGCTCCCAACGCATCCACGAGGGCCTGGGAGGCCCAGGAAGAGTAGGACTTGCCCAGGCTCACAGGCCTTGCTGGCAGAGCCAGGACCCCACCACGGTTCCTCCCACCGAGTTTCGGCCTCCCCAGGTGGAGGGAAGAGAGGCTGCGCTACACCACCCCTGCCTCGGCAGGGCCTCACGTCCTTTCCCAACTACCTGCGGAGGCCAAGCCCCTCAGCCCCACTCTTCATGGCAGGAACTGGAGGGGACTGGCCTGTGGGACATGGAGCCAGGTCCCCCAGAACCTCCTTGGCTGGCTGCCTAAAGTTTCTAAGCTACACTAGGCCTGGCCTGCATCTTGTCTTCCCAGAGCCTCCCTTCTGAAAACTCAGTGCAGGGGGTCCCCAGATCCTCCAACCCCATCCCAGAACCTGGTATCTGGCCAGGGTGTGAGAACACAAGCCACTGACCAAGGTTTCCCTGGCGTCCATCTCAGGTGGGGAATAGCCCTCAAGCTTCCCAGGCACCCTGTCCAAGCCAGGCTTCCCCATTGCTCTAGCTGCCCCAGGAGCTCTCCTGGTCACAGATGGCCCTCTTCGCCCCGCCCCGTCCCCCCCCAGAGGTAGTGGGGATGGGATCCAAGGCCTCTCCCTTGCTAGGAAGGGAAAATTCTTTACCACTTGAGCCATGAGCTGGTTTGTATTTTGTTTTTGAGACAGGGTCTCCAATAACTTTGCCCAGGCTGGCCTCAAACTAAGATCCTCCTGCCTCCACCTCCTGAGTAGCTGAGATTACAGACGTGCACTACCATGCCTGGCTCATGGACAGCCCTCATGAAACCTGTATTTCTTAGAGAAGGCCACCTGTTCACACGGTGGGGGGGAAGGGGGCAGGGAGGTGGACAGGGTGATGTCCTCCCCAGTGTGCCTCTGAGGCCAGCCCAGTTGCTGTGCCCCTCATAAAGAGCACATTCCTCCCCAAAATGCATCAGCACCCCAAGCCCTAGCTGTGTATATTTGAAGCTTTGGAAGTAAGCACCCTATAGATGTTGATGAGATACATCAAGGGAGGTCACACAGAGTTGGATGGCCCCTTCATCCCACAGCTGGAGTCACTTTGGAAAGGGGGAATTTGGAGGTAGTGTCTTGGAGGTGGAGGATGGGGTGCTGTGGCAATAAGCCAAGGGACACCTGGAGCCCCAGAAGCTGGAAGAGGCAGGAAGGACCCTCCTGGCACCTCCAGAGGGAACATGGCACTGGTCACACCCTGATGTGGGCTCTAGACTGTGAGAGCTGCCCAGTCTGTGGCCTTCTGTTAAAGCAGCCATGAAGACCACGCAGCCACCAGCCCAGAGGGTTCTGGCTTGGCTTCCAGCTGGCTGTGTGACGTGTGACGGCTGGCAGGTCTCCCCGTGTCTGCTGTGCCGTCAGACCCAGCCCCTCCCCCGGGGGATACAAATCGTCCCCACTTCCCAGCAGACTTAGCACCCACAGCCAGAAGAGGGGCAGGATTTGAATATGGCCTTGGCGGGTGGCAGAAACACTTGCCTGCTTTGAGCATGGGAAGCTGGGCCCGAGGGCAAGCCCTGGGGGAAAGGGGGAGGGTTGGCACACCAGTATATTTGTGTCCCATGGTTGTCATAACAAAGGACCGCAAACCAGGAGGGCTCCTGCAGTTGGACTGGACCCTACAGTTCTGGGGGCAGAAATCTAAAGTCTAGAAGCCAATAGGACCATGGCTGCATCTGTGTCCTTTGACCTCTTTCAGCTCCTGGGGTTATGGGCATCCCTTGTTTTGTGGCCGCATGGTCCTGATCCCTGCCTCTTTGGTCACAGGGCTGTCCCTCTGCGTATCTGCGTCTCCTCTTCCTGTAAGGCTGCCTATCACTGGCTCAGACCCCCATCTTCCCTTGATCACATCAGCAAAGACCCAATTTCCAGACAAGACTAGTCTGCAGTTTGGGATGGGCACTGTCCAGTTCTCAGTGCCCCCTCTATCAAGGTAGATTCATTCTGGGTCACATTTAGACATGTGCCCTATAGCAGCAGTGCACAGCTGGACCTGTGTCCCTGCCCAGGGTGGGGGACCTCAAACTGGGGAGGCCTTAACCCAGGCTCACCCTCAGCCTAAGGGGGCAGGGGTGGACAAGCAACTGGGATGTCCTTGCCAGCCTCTGAGGCTCAGGCCAGGGAGAAGGTCCCACTCTTCTCCCTTTTTAATCCAGAAATGGGGAACATGGTAGGCAGCCTCAGCTTGGGAGGGGCCCTATGCAGAACCCCCGGCCCCGGAATTCCTCTTCTCCAAGGCCCAGTTCTATCAATCAATACTCTGCTGCCTGTAGTTCAGCAGTGGCTCCCTTTACTCTCCCCACCATGGCAGGTGGGCACAGGCCACAGGGGCTCCCCGTGTTTCTCGTGGCCCAGACCACCTTTCCTTGCTGCAAGACATTTGAGGCGGGACTGAGCCCCTGGCAGCCTGCGGGAGGTAAGCGCAGTCCAGAGGATCAGCCTCACCTTCCCCACCCGGCTTACCATCCCAGGGACCCAGGGGCATTTGGGCAGGTGCCAAGCTCCAGGCAAATGGCGCCACCCTAAGGGAGAGTATGCAAACGGGCTGGGGATTTGCATGAACAGGTGGCCAGGTCTTCAGTGTCCCTCCCTGCATGTTCCTGGAGAGGTGGGGGACCCATGGGCACTGTGTGTGGGGGGGTATCCAGTATGACCCCGGCCAGAGTCCCATCCCAGGGCAGACCCCTGGTCCTGTGCAGCCAAGATACTGGGGGTTCTTGCTGGAGGCAGGTGGCCACTGCTAGCCAGAGGCTGTCACAGAAACAGCCTGAACCAAATGTGGCCTCTTTGACATGGGAAGGGCCCAGTGTAGGACAGAACAAGGCCACCAGGCCCTGGTTCCCCACCCGGTTTGTTCTCCAGACTCCCTGGGCCGGCTCACCCTTAAGATGTGGGGAGATTGGTGGTAGTAAGAAGGGGCCAGAAAGGTCCCTGCTTGTGGCAGTCACAAAGTGGGCCACAGCGTGTGGACGTGAGCACAACTGGGATGGGGGGGTGGCCCCAGTCTCCCTCTCACTACCCCTCTCCTGGCCGCTGAGTCTCTCCTGCATTCTCTGGCTGCTGGGCAAATCTGTGAGCCTGAGGCTCCAAGCAGTGATTGCCTCTCACCCAGACCCCCCCTACCTGGCACCCCTTCCTTGGGAGGGTCTCTCCCTGATAGAGTGAGGAAACCGAGGCATAAGGCAGGGATGCAGCCAAAGCCAAACAGTCTTGAGCCTGGCTCTGCTCCTGTCCAGCTGTCCCGCCCGCCTTGGGGAGAAGGTGGGTGCTTTTCCTGCTCCCCATCTGGGAGGCAGAGGCACGGGACACCTACCTGCCTGCTGTCTCCTCGGTGCGTGACGTGTGGCTGCTGGGTGCAGAGTGGTGGAGCTGCCTGCTCCTTGCTGCCCTCCTCCTCCCTGCCGCATCTGGCGCCTAGGCAGTCAATGATGTCCCAGGAAGCTGGGCGTGAGCAGGTTATCACCTGGCCACAAAGGACCTGGCCTGATTGGCCCCTGGGGCCCTGAGGGTTCAGTCTGGCTGGGAGGCAGCGCCCATCACTCAGAGGTGATCCTGTGCGGAAGTGGCTGCCAGGCCACCTAGGTGGCCACCCTTCCCTCTGCGGGCTTTGCCCAGCAGGGGGCCAGGGACCTGGACCAATTCCAGTGGTGTCACTCTGATTCCAGGTTAGATGAGTTCCTGCCTCAGTTCCCACTGAGCCTCAGTTTCCCCAGCAAATGGGAATGGGAGCCGCCCAATAGCACGTGACCCATGCCGGGGGTCCTGGATAGCTGTCCCAAGGAAGATGGACAGGCAGAGGGGACTGCCCTGCAGCTCCGTCATGTGTCACTATGTGGAAAAACCAAATAGTGATGGCGAGCCTTGTGTGACATTCAACTGCTGGCCAGGTGGTCAGTGACATGGGTGCTATTGAGGATTGTCCTCACTTCCAGGTGTGGGACAGGTGCCTGGGTGCTTGAGGGGCAGCTCATGACTTCTGCAGCCCGCAGTCCTGGGCTGGACTCCTGCTTCCTCCTCAGGCTCCTTCACCACTCTGGGTCTCTGTTTCTCCATGTGTAAAATCAGGATGACTTCAGAGCCTACCTTCTCAGAGGTCGCCTGTAACATGAGGAGAGGAGCCTGTACTTCTGTGTGCCTGCCCCTACCCCCCCCCCAGGGACCCCAGGATCTCTGCACAGACACCCTCCTACCGGATGGAGGCTGGTAGCCAGGATCGCTGCTGGCCACCAGAGGGCGCTCCAGGACCAGCCAGAGGCACAGGCGAAGAGGCACAGGAAGCCGGCCAGCTTTGCCCTGGGCAGGAACCCTGAGGCCATGCAGCAGGCGCCTGTAGGGTGGGCCTGGTACATTCGCTGATCCCCAGCATGGCCACACCTGACCCCTGAGAGGGGTGGTTGGGGTCAGAGGCCCAGAGCTAGCACCACAATCATGGGGTTCCAGGGTGGGGACCCCGTGAGCCTTTGGGAACAAAGGCCCTGAGGGTCCAGTTCAAAGAGGAAGGCCCATCCTGGGGGCTCTGGGCAAAGCTGGGGGTCCACTAGGCCCTGGAGGTCCAGCCTGAGCTCATACCGAGGCAGCAGCCTGGAGAGAGAGGGTTCTCTCCAGACTCTCCGAGCCCGTGGTGGTGGGAGACAGCTCTTCCCCAGCCCTTCCTCTGTTGCAGTCCTGCCTCTTCACCTCTGAAAGGCCACCTCTGTTTTCTGGACACCTGAGGGGTGGCAGCAGTCACTCCCTAACCACCCCCAGTCCAATAGCAGGTCATGCTTGTCCATGCTTACAGTCCTCCGTGGCTCCCTATTACCCTGACAATAAAACCTAAAGAGGCCTGGGTGCCTTTGTTTCTACTGCCCTACCAGGAGTTCTCTTCTCTGGAGCTACTTCCGCCAGCTCCTCCTTGCTGCCCGGGTCTCAGTAACCATGTCCTTCCTCAGAGAAGCCCCTCAATCGGGGTCACACCAGCTCAGGACACCTTCCTCTGCAGCTCTCTTCCCAGGTGCCCTGGGGTCATGTTTCTGTAAAGACCTTTCATTTCCTCATTTGTTGTCCACATCTGCTTCTTGCACAAGCCTGCTGGGCACTGGGCGTTCACTACTTACTTCCCCTACCTCACCCCCCGGGCTCAGAACACACTGGCACCATGCATGCTCAAACACGCTTGAGCGAGGGAGTGGATGGGCAAGTCTGTGAGCACTGTCTGGTGTGACAGGGCCCAGGGAGCCAGAGGATGAGGAAGTGGTCTCTGGACAGCTCCAGCACGTGGACAGAACAGAACAGATATCGGGCAGGGCTCGGCTGACTGCCTGCCTATGGCCCCTGCCACAAGGGGCAGGAGGTGCTAAGATGCCATCAGGAAGGATATCCAAGCTGGCATCAAGAGCAGCTGCTGCTTCTGCTGCCTGCAGTGGCTTGGATGTCACTGTCTCTGTCCTCTTTGCTACAACTGGCCTGGCAGGTACCACGTGGGCACTTCCTTATGGGTGAGGCCATGCTCCAGAGAGTAAGGCTCAATAGAGCCTGGCCCCACTGGGCCTCTGTCACTGGGGCAGCAGATCTTTCTCCAGGCCACCTACTGTCCCCCACTGATTATAGCTCCATCTGTCTCCTGCCACACCCCGCCATGGGAGGCCCGGCCCACACAGTCAAAAATCAACCCTTGTCCAGGAGGCCCAGAGTCCCTCAGGTAGCCTGAGCCATCCCTGATGGGGCCAGAAGCCTGCACTGGCTGGCTGGCCCCTCCTTGGTGTGGGGCTGTGGGCAGTGTGTAAAGAAAGGCTTCAATTCCCCATCCACTTCTCCTTCTTATGGAAGAGAAGTCACCTCCTAGCGCATTGACCAGTGCCTGCCTCAGGACCCCACAGAGCACACAGGTGGGAGGGAGGGAAGTGGCTTGTGTCACACAGCGACTGCCTAGAGGGGACATCACGTTTGACCACCTTTGATTAGAGGGTGACAAGGCCACAGGCAAGCTGTGTAGGTTGGAGCCACCGTCCAAGGCCTCTGGAGCAACCCTGAGCACCCAAGCAGTAGAGGTCCGTAGCCTGGGAGAATCAGTGGAGCCACACGTCTGTTTCTCACCCCATGGACACCGCCCAGACTCAAGTCCTCCGGCTGTCCCCCAAGAAGCAGAAATGACCTGCTCTTCTGTCCCAGGACTCCTTGCAGCCTGACCCTTTGGGTGCTCAGGGGACCCAGAGCCCCTCCTTCCCACAGAAGTACCATTGCTCTATAGTCACGCTGGGGGTCCTTGCTCCTCGTGGCCACAGCCAGGCTCTCCCTGGAGGGACCATCAGGTTCTTCTCAGAACAGAATCTGTGTTCAGCACATTGGACTCTTGTGTCCTGGGGGTGCTTAAGCAGGGAGGTCTCAGGCCTGACCCTTGTTCAGTGGTCTCTGACCCACTGGCCACACAGACACCAACCACACAGACCTGCTATGGTCACCCCATTCCTGTGGCTGTCCTTACAGTGTCATCTCCATCACCCATCCATCAGCCCTGGAGGGGCAACCTTGTCTCCATCCCACAGGTGGTACAGAGACCAGAGAGGTCAAGAGACTAGCCCAGGGCTCAGGCCAGGACTCAGGGCCCTCCCCATCCTCCCACCATTTGTTCCTGAGCTCTGAGCTCCAGGAAGGACCTGCCCAGTGCACTCCCACGGAGGGTACTTGGCAGAACTGCAAATAAAAGGTTCCTCTCGGCAGCATGCTGGGGCAACCCAGCCAACGCCAGACATTGGCAAGCTCTGGCTATGGAGGAGTGGGCTCCACGCACACGTCTGTGCACAGTTTACCCATGCTGCTGTGTGCACGTGCACCTGCACACATCTGTGCCGGGGCTGCAGCATGACCTTCTGTGATCCAGGACTCCAGGTTCTGTTGGAAAACAGGGACAGTGATACTGTGCATCTAGAGGGGGCTTATGGGGACCTGCCAAGGTGAACATGTCTAGGACAGCACCCAGGCATCCTGAGGGCTGATGGTACCCAGGGCACCAAGTAGGTCCTGGCGAGCATGGAGAGCAGGGCCTATGTGTGTGGACATACAATACAAGTCTGCCCGTGGGTGCACTTTGAGCGTGTGGCTATTTGCACACGCACTGTTTCTGTGCATGCATTCTCGGTGTGTCTGTGCAAGTGTGTGTGTGTAGGCATGGTATGGACTGCACCCAGCATGTGTGTGTCTGTGACATGCACGGCAGGACGAGGCTGGCCTTGGCAGTAGGAACTCCAGGGCAGGAGGGTCACAGCCAGCCAGTCTGGGGCGAACAGCAGTGTGAAGAGCCCTGAAGTCACAGGCCTCTGATCCACTCCTCTCTGCTCAGGCCCCCAACCCTCTTTGCCCAACTATCTGGTCACAGTGGACTCAGTCATGCAACACAGATTCACTGAACAACTTCTCTGTGCCAGGCACTGTGCTGGGTGTCCAGAGAGATAGACAGCAAGGAAATAAGTAAACAATTCAAATGGCTATGGAGAAAAATGAAGCAGGGGAGAAGCAGAGTTTGGAGATTTTAATGAGCTGGTCAAGACAAACCTCAAGAAGGTATGATTTCTACAGATGACCAAAGAAGGGCGGTCCATCTGCCAGTCAGTCCATCTGCCAGGCACTCACTCGGCCATTTGCCCACACATCCAAGACCAGACATTTACTTACCCACTACTGCCCATCCGTCCATCATTCACCATCTACCCATCCCACATTCACCAACTCTCACTCTCCATATCCACTCACCGCAGAGCCATCTTTCCCTGCACTGTTTATCTACTCGCGACCCATCCACCCACCTACCCATCCACATATACATTTACTCACTCATCATCACCATCCATCTCTCACGCATCTATCCACCATCCATTCAGCAGGTACCTAATAAATACCATAGGCAGTTGAGTCATCCCGCCTCCTCCTCCTCTGTTCATTGCTTGAGTGCTGGTGGCTCCATCCCTGCCACCTGCCCCCTTGCCAGCCCTTGGGCCAACCTGCTAGCCTGCTTCCTCAAGTCCGCTCCTGGATTTGTGGCTCTGGCCCTGGGCTGGGCTGTAGGGGTTTCACAAGGCAAGTCCTGACAGTCGTGGTACGAGAATGCCATCACCAGCAAAGAGGACAAGGGCGCTGGCCAGGAACTGCCCACATGGCACCAAAGGACAAGACACATTCCCCAGGTCTCTCATGCTCTGGTCTGAGTGGCCAGGGACACCCACACATCTAGAGCAATAAAAGATTTGATGACTAGATCTCAGGACAGGTGTCCGGGGACCGCCGCCCAGGGAAGGCTCTCTGAGGGCACTCAGCATGGTCCAGATGGATGACTGGGGAGTTAGAAGGACAGATGCCTCCCTGTGCTTCTCAAGCTGATGTCTCTCTGAGGGTCCTCCTGGCCGGTGACTGTTTCTATGGCTATGACATCCCAACAGTAGGGCTGAAGCCACTGTCTCATGCTTGCACTCCACTGGTAGTTCCCGGAGCACCCTCTCCTTCCCATACCCCAACTACTCTCTGTGCATGTACCCCCCCCCGCCACCTGAGTAGTGCCCTGGGCTCTGTAAACAGTCCCCCTGCAGATCCCGAGGGTCCCCAAGTTTAGGAGCTACCGCAGGACAGAGGGGAGGCTGGGACCTCCCCAGAGTCCTTCAGCTCTGATCCACTTTGTCCTTCCATTCACACTGTGTGTGACATTGATGCTGGGCACCCACTGTACCCAGCACAGTAGGCAATGGCCAGTGGGTGACCTAAACACAGGTCACAGAGAAAGGCACCCCCATGAGAAGGTCCTTCCACACACAAGAAGCTGGGCAGTTTCCTCACTTGTGAGGTCAAGACGTTCCTTCTGCCTCACAGGCCTTAGTGAGGAGGGGCCCAGGTCACCAGACACAAAGTGAGGGTGGGAGGGCAGGACGGCAGAGGTCAGCGTGCTGTCATTGCACCCACCCCAAGTTGGGAACCAGCCCAGAAGACTTAGGGCTCTGTGTGCAAGCGTGTGCCGTGTGCATGGCCGGTGTGCTCATGCACACAAGCCCTTTGGTGACCACAAAGGGCCTGGGGACTCTCCCGTCCCTGCTCTTAAGAAAGGCAGTGTGAGGACAGGGCACTGGGGCAGGCTGGGAGTGGCAGCTCACAAGAGAGATCAGCCAGCACACTGGGGAGGTGGAGAACTGCCCTGTGGGGCCAAAGCTACACCCTAACTATCAGGTCTTCATGGCTCCCTGGTGGCTTGGCCCTCCCTGCAAATTTGTACCCTACACTCCCCACAACGCCCAGGTAGGGACGCTAAGCCCCATGGTATCATCTGACTCTCCGCATTGACCTTGTGCTCTGTTCTCCGGAAGCTTCTGGTACCTCTCAGAACACAGATTACACTACCAAAAGACTTCTGTTCATTGCTCTAGGGCCAACACCAGTTCTCCAAATTGTAGGGCTATGGGCCCTTGCTTTGTGCTTTTGGGGGGGGTGCTCCAGCAAGCACCCACAAGTCCCCCTCCAGTGGCCTCCCACCACCAGTCGCTGAACTTGCCCCTCCCTCCAAGTGGGTGTGTTGGAAAGCGGTCCCAAGAGTCCAAAGAGCTTAGCCCTCCCCAGCCCCAGGCCTTACCCTGCCCAGTGTATAAAGCAGTGCCTGGCACATAGTGGAGGCTCAATTAGGATTTGAAGACCAAACGGATGAATGAACAAACAAATGAACGAATGAATGAATGAATGAATGAAGTCGAGCCAAAGGAGGAGATGCGGCCAGGAAGCCTTTGTGTGCTTAGCCCCAGTGGCCCACCCTTGGATGGAAGACATTGGGCCTCACAACAGACACACCATTGCCTTTACCTGCCTCAGTTTCCCCTTTCATTATGATGACCTCAGAGGCTCTTCCCATGGTGGGCCACTGACCCCACCAAAGGACATGGGGTGAGCTTAGTGAGCTGAGGGATGCTGGCAAAGAGCTCCTGGAAAGGTGACATGTGGGAGGTCGGGCACCACGTTTCCAGAACGCTCCAAGGTTCTGAGGCAGCCTGCAGGCCTGAGAGACAGTGAGAGGGTGCTCACTTGGAAGGTGTACGGACCTCTGCATCCAGGACAGCCAGTGGGACATGTGTACACAGAATGACTGTAGGGTGGGGAGAATTGCAGGGAGGGGGGGATTCCTCAGTGGAGCATGGACAGCTGGCAGTGGGACCCTAGGTGCTGCTCCCATGCCCAGAGCTCCAAACCTTCATGCCCCATGTAGGGTCAGCTACTTGCTCTCCACTATCAGGAATTTTTCTCCTGATGGGCCCCCAGTGGGGAGCACTCTTACCCACTTGCCAGAGTGACTGAGGACTGGGCCAGACTCTGCTGCCCACCAATAGGGTCAGTCTCACTTGTAGTTTCTGTTCTGCTGGCCACTGACCCTCTCTTTCTCACTCTCAAGGGCAGTGTCCAGCCCAGTGCCTCACCTGTGCATGGGGCTTCCCTCCTTTTCAGTCCACTCCCACCCCTGTTCCCCATCCCCAACCCCTTGGAGATGGCAAGGAGCTCATGGCAGTCTATGTTCAGCCTCCCGCCTGCCTCAGTGTCGCCCAGAGCAGAGTCCTGCACAGCTTAGGGCAGGCCTCCTCAAGAGCCCTCACTCCCTCCCCCAGCTGCCCCAGGGGCCCCCAAGAGCCTCCCAGTGCATGGGCAGCTATGAGAACAATTTTTAAAATATGGAACCATACCCAGAAGTTAAGGGCATGGCACAATGAACACATTTACCACCTGGCTCCAACAATCCCCCATTCACAGGCAGTTTTGGTTAATCTCCAGCTGACTCCCTACCGAGCTCCCTGCCCATTATTCCAAAGCAATTCCCCCATGTGCGCCTCTAGCAGGCATGGCCTCTTTTCACTCTGGAGTTCCTATAGGGAAGGCGGGTCACACTTGACCCTACCCCTCGCCACGCTTTCAGACCATGAGCCAAGCCACTAACCAAGGGCGGTGAGGACTGTTCAGTCTTAAGAACAAGTGAGTTTTAAAGATATTTGACATGTCCGAATCCATAATTCATTCTGATGTTAAATGGTCCTGCTGTTAGTCAGTCCTTTCTAAAACTTCCCCGTGGAGAGAGTTATGAAATAATTTCAAGACAAAAGTTAGCATAAACTTGCCCAGTTTGAACTTCTTTGAGCTTTTATCTGTCTTTTAGCTTTCCTCTTGGAAATTCTGGTTCCTAAGGAACTTTACACGATTATTTGATATGAAAATAAATATGCATTTCTATATCAAGCAATAGAAATATATTTAAATTATATATAAACTAGATATTTTTATATCAAATAATCATATGGATGTATGATGTATTATATGTGCATTTTATTTAGCAAACATTCATTACATACATGGTTTCAGAATGACAAGACAGCCTTCTATGTTTGTAGTTCTGAACCTCCAAATTCAACCAACCCCAGATGGAAAATATTTGAAAAACACATTGTATCTGCACTGGACATGTATAGACTTTTTCTTGTCATTATTCCCTGAACAATACAGTATAGCAAGGAAGTTACATTGTGTTAGGTACCAAAAGTCACCCAGAGGCGGTTCTACCCATGCAGGAGGAGGTGCCCAGGTTCTGTGGAAACACTACCCTGCTTTATACAGGGGATTTGAGCATGCAAGTCTTTTGGTATGGGGGAGTCTTGGATTCCAAGGGATGACTGTGCCACTATTGTTACTGACAGTGTGGTTCTTTGGGTTCCTTTTGTCTGAGTATTAATGACAAGATTGTTCACAACACTGCACCGTGTGACTGCACCGTCGTGTAATCCAGCCACTTGAAGCTCACTGTGGTTGTTTCACGCCCTTTGATAATCACAGGAGTAGAGCTGCAATGCATATGGCCTTGTGTGTATTTTTTTCTATTTCTCTTACGTATTCTTGAGTTAGTTCCTGGCAGTGGGATTTCCGGTCAAAGGGTACATGGACTTTTGCTAATATTGCCAGAATTCTCTTCCCAAGGATGATGAGGAGAGCACCTGCTGCCCTGGCCTCTCCCATGGATTGTGCCGTCAAACGTCTGGATTTTTGCCCATCAGATAGGCAAGCAATGGTATCAAAGTGTACTTTTAATTTGCATTTGTCTTGTTATGAGTGAGGCTGGGCATTTTTTTCACAGGTGCAAAGGCCACAAACCTCTTTCCCGTGCCCTGTTCCTGCTACTTCCTTACAGGATTGTCTGTCACTTTCTTCTCAGCTTTAGATTTTTTTTTTTTTTTATCAATGAAGCTAATCCTTTGCCTGTGGTGGAAACTGCAAATCCTTTTCTGTTTGTCACTTTTATCTCTCCCACTTTGCCGATAGCGGTTTTCTGGTTTCTTTTTCTTTTATCTATTGCTTCTGGATTTCTAGACACAGTTGGAAATGGCTTCCCTATTCAGTTTAATCTGCCTGGCTTCGTGTTAACATTTACACCAAGGCGTCAGGTCCATTGTGAGCCGAGGTTAGCCACCTTCTTTCCACGTGACTATCATCACTTAATAAAAGCTCATCTTCCTTCTGCTGCTGCAGAGGTGCAGGCTAGTCACTCCTGGGGAGAGGGTAGGCAGGGTCCCTAGAGGTGGATCTTATCTGTTTGCTGCCCCCCACCTGCAAATCTTCAGATTCCATCACTCATCCCTACACAAGTCCCCACTCAGGGAACCCACGGGGCACAAGTCAGTCCACGCGGGAGGGCACAGGGGACAAGGCGCTCATTCTCCGTGTCCTCCCGGAGGTGATGCAAACGTTTCTCCCTTCACCTGCCCAGCAGTCAAACCGGTGGCCCAGCCCCCGCAGGTTTCCACCGGGCTGTCCCTGACCATCAGTGAATGTACCGTTCTCACCTCCTCAGTCCCACGGCCATGGCGGGCAGCGACTTCAGCGCGTTCTCCATCCACGGTGTGTGCGTCTGGGCACCAGGACGCGCTCAGAGTGTTCGCGGGACCAACGCATCCTCACCTCGGCGCTGAGGACCATCCACGCGTGCCTCAGGGCACCCCTCTTTCCACCTTGCCTCCCACTCCCTCTCCAGAGCGGCTCAGGGAACCGAGAGTGGGTGACGGTGCCCTACCCCGCCCAGGCCCCTCGGTGGTGGCCCCTGTCAGCCCCTGGCCTTCCTCGGGAGCTCGACTGGAGGACCCCTGGAGCCAAGCAGAGCAGGTGAGCTTCAGGCGTGGGGACCAGCACGTGGGCGCGAAGCCGGTGGAGCAGGTGAGCGCCGGAGGCAGAGGGGCGAACAGCTGGGCGCGGCGGGGCAGGGCGAGCAAGGCCCGCAGGTGGGCTCAGGCTGTGCGCCGGAGCGCGCCGGGCGATCGGGGGCGGGGCGTCCGGTCGGGGCGGGGCCTGGTGTCCCCGGGGGCCCGGCCCCCGCCCCCTCCCGGCCCCGCCCCCTCCCCCGGGAGGGGCAAGCAGCCCTGGCCGCCCGCACAGTGCCCCGGCGCCCGCCTTGGCTGCAGCTCCCGGTGCCAGCGCCTGCCCGCCCCCCCCCACCCCCGGGGCTCTGCCTCGCCATGGCCGCGGCCTCCTCCCCGCCCAAGGCTGAGAGGAAGCGCGCGGGCTGGGGCCGCCTGCTGGGCGCCCGGCGGGGCAGCGCGGGCCTGGCCAAGAAGTGCCCCTTCTCGTTGGAGCTGGCCGAGGGCGGCCCGGCGGGCGGCACGCTTTACGCGCCCATCGCGCCGCCCGGCACCCTGGGGTCCCCGCCACCGGTGCCCCCCGCCGCGCCCCCCGCCGCCGACCTCTGCCCGCGGCCGCCTGTGAGCCTCGACCCGCGCGTCTCCATCTACAGCGCGCGCCGCCCGCTGCTGGCGCGCACCCACATCCAGGGCCGCGTCTACAACTTCCTCGAGCGCCCCACCGGCTGGAAGTGCTTCGTCTACCACTTCGCCGTGTGAGTATGGCCCGCCAGGGCGCCTTCTGTGCGCGGCTGGTGCGCGAGAACGCGAGGTCCCTGTGCCACCTGCTGCTGCCCCGGAATCCCCCTCCCTTTCCCCCAAGCTGGAGCCAACGGGAGGCAAGGAAGGGCTTAAGGGGGAAAACTGAAACAAGCTGAGGGCCCCGGGGGAAAGCTTCTCCCAGGCCCTGCCCAGGCGTGTGGAGAGGAGAGCCCCAGCCCAGAAGCTGGCTCCACTCCTCCCTGGAGGGTGGTCCAGGTGTTAATCCTTCCTGGAAGAGAAGCCAGCTGGGGGGAACTTGTCCTTGGTGCAGTGAGAGAATTCCCCATGGTTGGCTGGGACAGAAGCCTTAGGAGTCCCCCAGGAGTGAAGGGTCCCTTGGCTGCAGGTAGGTCTGGGTGTGGGGACTCACGGGGCAGACACCTGTCTAGGGCAGGATGACAGGTGTGCTGGTGTCTCCTGAGGGCCTGCAGGAGGTGGGGAGAACCCACAGCTTTGGTAACTCAAGCTGATGAAAACCTGGATGGATGCAGAGGGGTGCGTTTTCAGGCATCCACAGAAAGCAGCAGATGGCAGTCACACCTGGCCTGTGCTGCTGCCAGGTGGCTCCCATTCCTTCAGGCATGCCTAAGTGGGGCAGGGGCACAGGAAGTCACCTGTGAGAAGGACCAGGCTGCCCCCCCGCTGCTGTTCCCAGGGCCCTACTTCCTGGCTGCCCAGCCGGTGGTTTCTTGGTGTCATGCCAGCCTCTGGCCTGTGATTCGGATGACCCCTTATCTGATTGCTTTGTGGCTCCTTTGTGGGCTGCCTGGGGTGGCTTCCCTATGGCTTCCTGTTGGCAGAGGGCTTGTCCAGTTGCCTGGCTGGGCTTGGCATTAAGCTCCCAGGGACCTGTTTGCTCCTGCTGGTAACTGCTCCCAGGTCCCCCAGCGCTGCAGCAGGAGCCAGGCTCAAGTAGGTGAGCTCAGGTAACTGTCCTTGTGGAGGGAAGCAGAGCCTTCCATAGCACAAAGTGCAGGTCCCAAGACATGCTGTCCCCAAAGTCACGCTGTCCCCAAAGAAAGACACTGTTAGCCATGATCCTAAGGATTCTTCTCCACTCCAGCCCCCACGTCCTCAACTGTCTGGGCTCCTGAGCTGTGGCCATTGGTGGCTGTGGGAGAGGGAGGTTCTGCCCGTGGCTGCATAGTCTTGACTTGTCTCAGGGTTAGGGAGTATTTGTGTCCAGTGACCCCCAAGGGTTCTTACCTGAATCTGCTGCTGCTGTGTGAGTGTCTAGCACACACTGGACTTGTGGGTACCACAGTGCAGATGGGCTGCCTGTCCCTTACCCCAACCCCCAGTGCTTGCCTGCTGGACCCCAAACTCCCTGAGATGTGAGTGGTGGGGGTGGAGTCCATAGCCAGCTGCCTGAGAAGACCCTTCCCTGTTACCTTTCTGCCCAGGAGCCCCATCTGTCCAAGCAAAGTGACTCCAGACTTGCCTGATGGCATTCTGGGGATGCAGCTGCTGTGAGCATCATCTGAGCTCTGGGCTGGCCAGGGGGGCGGGGCAGAGGAAGAGGGCTTGCTGTGCCCCAGAGGAAGTCTTTGCTTACACTGTGCTTTCTTCCTGAATTGGATCGTTCAGCCCGCGGAAGTGTGCTCAGCAGAGCCTGCCTTTGCCCAGCCTCCCCGGGCAACTGGGAGCTTCAGGGCCAGAGCAACTACTGGGGATGGTGGCTGAAGGGTTCCTCTGGCACAGAGTGGAGTGAGAAAGGGATGCTTCTGTGAGGTGGCTGTGTGGTGGCTGGCCAGTCCTTCCCAGCTCTGAGCTCTGGCTCTTCATGATATGTAACTGGCAGTGAGGAGCAGGCATGAACATCCCCCCAACGGGGCTGCAGGTGGACTCCTGGCTGGGCAGAGGAGGTGACTTGTCTGGAGCCTGGGAGGCCCTCCTCCATCATCTCCAGGAGGTGTGCAAGGCTCTGTGAGTCTTCTGGTGGGACCTCAGCTGCAGCTTCGTAACCTGGGGAGCTAGCACCATTCAGCCCCGGTGTTGCTCTAGGAAGCGACAGATGAGATGGTGGCAGAGAATGAGTTCTGTCTTTGGTAAAACAGACTGTGAAGCAAGGGGTTATGATTTCTGGGCCAAGGAGGCCAAGCCTGCTGTTGAAGGGCTGGTTCCACATGTGTGCTGGGGGCTGGAGGTGGGAGCTGGCTTCCTCCAGGCCTGGGGCACACTTTCCCACGTGTGGCCAGGGAAGCGGGCCGGACATCCTGACCCCTCCTTGGGGAACCCCTGCTTCGGCTCAAGAAGAGCAGCCCTTCCTGTATCAGTGGTGGCCTTCCTTGACTGGCCGGGATCAGAAGGCAGGACACAGCTCCCAGGCACTGCTTTTGCCTTCTTGAGTTTCCTGTTTCTCTCACCCCAGACCCTTCAGGGGTCCCTTTGCTGTCCCACAGACAGCTCTCTCCCTAGCTGAGGGCACATAAGGTCCAGGGAGCCTCTGCTGGACCCAGGAGTTCTAGCTACCCTGCCGATGGGCCTTAGCCATGATCAAGGGCAGACACCGAGTTGTCCACTCTGGTTGCTGAGACGCTTGGAGCTTGTGTTTGCTGCGGAGAAGAGGGATTTGAGGGAGGCCACCAGTGTGAGTGGACCTGCCCCTCTTCCTAGCTCTTGAACTCAAATGCAACTGGCCCAGCACCCTTGTACCCACTCTCCCACAGCTCTGGCCTTCCCAGGTTCCCAAGAACTTTCTGGTGGCTTTTGGTGCCTCGCGTGTGTTAATCATTGACGGAGCTTACAACTGGACCTGGTGGTTTATTGGGCTGGTTGTGCCACTTTTCCAAAAGTAAGAGGCTACATGACTGTGGCTCCCAGAGGCAGCCTGCCCCCGGGCTCCAACATTAAGTCTAGAGTGGCCACTGGGCACTGGTCCTGGAGACCTGTGAAGGAGCAGGGCGGGAGGGTGGATGATGGGGCACTGAATCAGATACAGGGCTGCTCGCATGGCCAGGTCTCAGCCTCTGGAGACCCTTTGTCCCCACGTGGACCCAGCTGGATGTTTCTGGGTATGCAGCTACCCGTGTGGAGCACTTACCCTCGGCCTGCCATAAGATGGGTGGTCACAAGCATCCTTTACACCCGGGCCATCACCTGAGAAGGCAGGAGGGGGACAGTACAGGTGGTGGAGAACGGAGACCCAGGGGAAGGGCCTGGGGTCAGGAGGGTGCCTGGGACCTGACCCAGGCAGGGCGAAGCTCTGGTACTAGAAACAGCTATGTTGAAAGCAAGAGTGGTGGCGGCCAGAGCACCTGAGGTGGGGTAGGAGCACTGAATGCATCCACGGGGCTAGAGTGACCGGGCTGGGCCCCAGCTCCACTTGATAGTTGATGCTCCTGATTTTGAAGGAATCTGGTGCCTGGAATCGTGGTCCTTGGCAAAGCTGGGTCCTGTGTTTGCTCTAGTGCTTGACGTCCTTGTCAGAAGTCCTGAGACAACACATGGTCCTGGGATGGGAGTGACCGTAGATGGGGGGCTGAGCAGCAGGGGAGGGGAGCTGAAGTCAGCCCCCCATCTACGGTCACTATGGTAGAATATTGCTGTTCACACAGACCTCATGCTGAGCGGGCAGGATGTAGACAGACATGCATGGATTCTGGTCCTGAGCCCAGCTCCCCCACTCTAATGAGGTCCCATGCACGGCCCCTGCTTCCTTGTGGGGCCCCCTTACCTGGGACTCCATGCCTGGCTCAGCCCTGACATTCCAGGCCATCTGTGACTCCTGTGCACCTCCCTGTGACTCAGTTCCCTCCCCACCGATGAGACGGGTGGGCTGGTGGACATCACCTCAAGCTCCAGAGAGCAGGGGCAGCTCTCAAGGATGGTAGCTCCAAGGAGCATGTTCCAGGCCTAGGAGGAGCCGAGGTGACACATACACAAGGCGTCCCCAAGGCAGGAACGTGGGTGTGTGGCTGGCCCTGGGGAGAGGCTGCAGAGCAGCTTCTGGAAGCTTCCACATGCTGGTGCCCAGCTTCTGCCTCTGGTGGGGAGGTTGGGGCAATGAGTGCCACCACCATGGGGCATGTGGACTCAGACTCCTTGGACTGGTTACGGAGGGGAGGTATGGTGGGGTCCAGCTTTGCCTGTGGGGAAGTGTGTGGAGCGAGGGATGGGCCCTGCGGCCCCTGAGGCCAAGCAGTATGGGATGGGGACACTGATGGTCACCCCAGCTAAGCCTTGCCTATACCTGGTCCCTGCAGGCACATGGGTGGGACTGTTTCTGTCCCCCCTCCTTAAGCAGTGTCCCCAGATCTCTGAGAGCAGTGGGGAGACAGGTGTTGCTATGCTATAGACTGGTGACCACAGTGACACCATGAGTGAATGTGGCTTCTGACATGTGGCTTCCGAGCCTGTGAAACGACTTGACCTCTGTGGACAGTCTGCCTCCTGCTGCTGAGGCCAGACCCCTTCTCTGGGCCCTCGTAGGTGCTGGTTGGGGCAGGGGGGACCATCTGGTTCTACAGAGGGGCCTCGTTGAAGGATGGAGGGGACACAGCAGTGCTTGGTCAGGAACAGGGTCCACTGCCTTTGTCACAGGTCTGCCACAGGTAGCCACTTGCTATGTGAGCTGGGAAAGCTGGGGTCCAGAGAGGGTAAGTTCCCTGCCAAGTCCACACAGCTGTGTATGCTCAAGGCTGCCTGACTCAAGCTGGGAGCTCCTCCCCCATGCCACCCTCACTGTCAGGACCTCCGGGTGTCCTTCATCCCCTGTTCCCCCACCTTGGGTGGGGTTGCAGTGCCTGCCCTTTGGTGGCTTGGTCAAATGAGGAATGTGGGCCACCATTTGTCCCGGAAGAGAGGGGAGAAAGCCCTGGGCAGGAGGATGGTGCTTGTAAGCCTAGCCTGGCACTGCCCTCTGGTCATGGCTTGCAGACTCAGTCCTCAATGCCTGACCTGGGCAACCTTCAAATGCCTTTGATCTAGCTGCTTCCTCTGTCTGGAAGCCCTG